ATTTTCCTTTTATCAATCTGACAGCCTGGTGGGGTATTAAAATCCCAGAATGGATATTTAGTAAGTAATTAATTTTATTTCGCTATGTGGTAAAACAATTATATTTGAAACTATAAATTATTTAAGCTAAGGAATTATTGCTTTCCTCTCCTTTATAGCTATGTAGGAGGCCAGTATAGTGCCCAAACCTTGATAAATATTTTATAATGATTCCCAAATAATGTACTTTATCAGTGTAGAGATATTTTCCTCTGGTGGTAGCTGAACTACTTTTAAATCAGAAGAGAGTTTTTGAGAAATGCAAGGTAAAGGAATTTCAAGAAAATGTCTGTATGATAAATTATAGGCTGTTACTTTGGGAGACCAAGAAGAGGAGGATAGCAAAATGCATTCAGAAGTAGGAGAGAGTAACAAGCAAACATTTGGGATTACTTTAAATAATCAACATGAATACACACGTTCAGAGGAAAAAGTGGCAGCCTCATAATTAACTTATTATTTTTATTTTGAAACTCAATTTATAAAATCAGAGAACTGAAAGAACTGAGTCCTCCCCTACTTAACAATATCCACATGAACTATAAAAAAATATATATCTAAAAAGCCTTACTATACCTGCATTCAATTTTTAATGTGGATATGGATAAACTCACATTACATATGTAAATAGTCAAATTATAGAACTCAGAATACTGAACTTAGTCATCAACCTATTTTCTCTTACTTTTACAAATACTTAATGTCACCCCTTGTCACCTGCTTACTTGTGATAGTGTGTGTGTGTGCGTGTGTGTGTGTGTGTGTGTGCCCTCTACAGAACAAGCTCCTTTGGGAATACTTTCTGTTATTCTTCTTTGTAAAAGTGCTTTGATACACAGAGCATTTGCAGTTGATTCTTTTAATAAAGTACTGCTTATCCTCCATGGCAATATGCACTTTAGTTTGCCCTTTGAGCACAGATAAGTTAAGAAGTTAGGAAAGAAAAGACTTTTGTTTATTCAGCAAACCTAGAGGTTATCAATATCATTAAGGAAAAATATGAGATAAGAAACATTTTGATCTATTACACTCAGGCTCTCTGTACAGTGATAGGATTTATCTGCTTACAAAGAGAGAAGGAAAAAGAATCAGCTATTCTACTGAAACAAGTATTTTGAAATGAAAATGGCTTTTTTTTCCCTAAAGGAGTAATTCTCATTTATCTTAATAAATAAAATCAATCTCACAACAGTGATAGGTATCATTGTTAAACTACCAAAAAATAACAGCTTCAGTCTTCTTAGGAGGTGAAACACAAATGTTATGGTTTTCTTGATTTCTACTATATATCTCTCTCTTAACACAACCTTTACAGTGAATAAGAAAATAATGTCCAAAGAATACAATCATATGTGGATATACGATATATAACTCTTATCCTTTGCAAAGTATAAATTATTAAATGCAATATATAATTCACAACTAAGAGAACACAGTTTTCATACAAAGATGTTTTATGCCTGAGGATGAACTAATCCAGTTACTTTCAACTCAGTGAAGAAAAATTCCACATTTGCACTTTCTCTGCCTCAAGTACCTTACTTCTTCTACTCCCTAACTCAAATAAAACAAAAGATTTGAATCAAATTAAACATGTAGAAAATCATAAAGAGAAAAGTCAGATTTAATTAGAATTAAAGTTATCTAGTGTGCAATCGATGGTAAAGTGAAAATGTAGAATCGAAGATTGAGAAAACAATGGATATTGTGCATACTTGCTTTTTTTGACCATATTTAAAATAAATATGCTTTATTTTAACCACACTTAGTCCACTTTTAATCCACAGATAATCATATTTTGAGGAGTAAGGTTGTTATGGAGACATAGTATAAAAAAAGAGAAAGATGAAGAGATGGGAAAAGAGGAAGAGGAGAAGAGATCATGTATCTTGAAAACATGAAAGGAGTAAAATATCTTTCCTTTTTCTCCCTATTAGCTATTTTATATTTGGATGTGAAATTCTTGTAACAGTAACATATAATAAAAACTTGGATCTGCCTCTAAATTCATGTGCTGTTGTATCTTTCCTCTGAACAAATAGTTCACAACAATGTTAAAAGAAGTGACGTTGTAGGTGAGAAGTTGGGAATTATATAAAAATACCTCTGGAAGATAGAGGCTTAGATATCTTATCCCTGACACTAATAAGTAGTATAACTGGGCAAAGTCACCCACCTTACTAGGAGTCTTAAAAGCCTTATTACTAAAATGAAAATGTTGGCCAATATGGGGCACAGAACTAAAATCATCTCCCTTTTCTGAAGCTTCAATTAACAAAGCACATGGCCATTAGATCCTTAAACAATAAGTGTTTATCATCTGACATCTCAAGAACTCTGGAGGTTTCAGTTGAGGGTAATTCGGTGGCATAATGAAAATGACATAATCAGGGAGGAATTCTGGTGCTTGCTTTCTTCCACTATGTTGTCTCTGGATTGTCAACCATGACTTCCTTCAAGGTCAAGGGATGACAATCATATGTAGATATAGTAATGTTTAACAAAGAGAGTAGTATTCTCTGTAGCCTGTCTTTTATTAGATGTGAAAAAGTTTTCCAGAAGTTTCCAATCATCTGCCCATGAATAAGATTGTGATTGATATGAGGAATGGTTAAAAAGATGTCACCTTTCCTGAGAAATGGAGAGCTAGCCTTCAATAAAATTAGGGACTGGCTAATGCAGAAAATAAACAAGTATGGAAAACCAGATGCAAAACAGTATCCATGTCTAAATGTATCCTTATTAAAGGCAAGGATTCCATGAATGTGTAAGTTTAGGAACTAAATAGCAAAAAAGAGCCCTGTCATTTACAAGATTTGGTTCCTATGACATAAACAAGTAACCAGACAGTTAAACCTTCCAATATTTTTAGATAATTAATAGATGTGAATGTGAAATTATTATATCAAAGTATACTGTTCTTTTAAAAAATCACAAAATCAGCTACATAGAAAGGAGTAACTGCTGCTGAACTTGGAAGCTGAATGCACAGGCTAAAAAAAGTATCTTATCTAATGGAGATGCTGAACTCTGATCTTTCAGGAATATTCTGCTGCTGTATACATGAATAGGGAAAAAATAACATTTACTGTAGGTTCTATTGAGATACATAGATGGACAAATAAATAAATCTTTTGGCATTGACAAAGTCCTTCCTTTGAGAAGCTCATTAACTTACAAATAGCACTGTCACCAGAAATGTATTTGAAAAAGAGGAAATTTTCCCTGAGAGAAGAGTATAACTCTCTACTCAATTTTTCAGTTGCCCACAAAAACTCAAGGTTCTTAGACTAATGATGAAAAGAATTTCAAAGTGATCCACAAAGTAGGCACACAAGGTAGCAGCCAGTAGAGATTTATTTAGCACAGGAAGACAAAGCAGAGAGAAAAAGAGAAAGAGGCAATAAACTAGCCTCAGCCAGAAGGTGGTATCTGAAGCTCAGTGGGTGGTCTTTGATCCAGGGCTGTTTATGTTCCCTAATTGGGTTAGGGGGTTGCCTTCAAAATTGGTAACCTAGCAACTGTTCAATTATCCTGTTTTCATATTATCTTGCAGCATGGAGACAATAGGACTGAGTTGGATTTATTCTCAAAAGACCTTGTGACATAGGTGCCTGGTTTTTGTGCTGTTTTTAGATATTCCTTCTGCTCACACATTCATAAGAACCAGTCACTTTTCTATTCTCAGAATCAATTACTCCTTTAGGGCCACTGTATCTCATTTAACATGTAAAAGTGAAGGAAGCTCAAAGGAAAGAAAGCAGGTCTGTACTGGTGATCTTTCAGTCTTAGTTCCTGAACCTGACTCAGTTCCTAAATCTGACTTAATTTTTTCCATGTTTTCTAATGTCCCTGTCACCTTACCCTGTTATCCTGCCTCATTATAAGGATTTATGAGATTAAATACTTATGTTTTGGAGCCAACAATCATATCATGTAAAATTTGACCTTCCCTAGTTTGTCTCTTAAGAAATCAGGTACACTCTGAGTACTCCCATCTTACAGAAAGGTACATCTAAAGTTTGTCTCCCAAGTGGCTGTATATAAATGGATAGCATGAGGTTAGTAGAGATATAAGCAAGAAAAATCTGTCATCCTCACTGCCCCAAAATGTATTCATTTTTATCTATATTAAAAAATATTTTTACAAAAACACCTCTCAAAATGCATATTACAGAACAGGGATGAAAATAACAAGGAAGAAGATTAGGTTACAATCACAACAGATCACATAGGCAAGAAACTCAGAGCTCTTGGCCGTGATACTGAATAAATGCTCCATGAGTTCTCAATAGTTTCATTTATATTTGTTTTCTTTCTATTCCTTGATATCAGGGCATACATTGAAATTTTAGGTTAAGCAGAATAGAAAAGAAAAAAAATTAGTCTTTCTTAAAGTAGATAAAGAAGAAATTCATTTGAAGCAAGTAAAACTAATTAGGTTTCTCTGTGCTTAAAAATCAACCAGAGAATAACAAATCCACACCTTTCATTCCTTCTAACACTAAAATTTAAACAAATGCTATGGTACCATGTCATTTTTTTTTTAATTTGATAAAAGTGACTTTGGGGAACAGCATAGCCTGTGGATTATTGTTTTAATATGGAACTCAGAAATCACAGATTGCAATTTTGGGCTTATTTGGGGATTTGTGTTTTAGGAGAAGCAATTTAGAGTGTCAATTCCTTTTACCTCTATCTGTTATAAGAAAAAGTTAGTACTTTACATTACCATTTTATGTTACCTGTCTTATTCATTTTTATATTTCTTTAAATTGCAAAAGAAAAATCAACTTGTAAAATGCATATTTCAGAGCAGGGGTTACACTACCTTATCCTAGTGTAATGAGGATTAACAAGTTGAGAACCATAGAGAATTTTAAAGATATTTTACATGAATTGAGCACAAATCACTTGAAGATGGCTGACTTTTTCCTCTTATATCATCTTTTGCTTTACAGAAATGGCAGCATTATAGTCCTATTTGATCTTTTTTTTGCTCAGTGGTTGTCAAATGAAAATGTAAAAGAAGAACTGATTCAAGGCATTGAAGCAAATAAATCCAGCCAACTGGTCACTTTCCATATTGATTTGAACAGCATTGATATCACAGGTATCTGTGAACATTATTTGATTTCTTTGAATCATTAAGCTATGAAATTAAGATTCTAGCAAAATACCAGAGAAGCAGTGGGATGGTCCTCGACTTAGGAGCATGACTTATTGCCTGAGGTAACACATTTACATGAGTAAAGTAGAAATCTTAGAAATCATATTTAAAGAAAAAATATCGGTGAGAAGAAGTTTGTAAAATCCCAAATAATAAAAAGGTTCTGAAAATGTTGGTATGCATAAATGTTTGTGAGTCTTGTTACAGTGGTCTACATACCCTGACTTTTCAGGAGCCCTCTATCAGGACTTTCCGATTAAGTCATAGATATTCTTACATTACAAAGTCAAGCAGCAAGATCCAATCTGAAATTGAAAAACTAAAAAATAGAAGCAGAAAAAGAAGGAGTTTGTTCCATCACTATTCCTTAAATGTAAATATTAAACTTTATTTTAAAAATGACAAATAGGTTTTACTATGAGAATATATCAACAGTGAAAAGAATTGGGGTATCAAAAACAATATCAGCACAATTCCTCTATTGAAGTATTGCTGTTGTACTCGAAATATGAAGTATTCCCACAAAAGGGCTATGTATTGGAGACTGGTCCTTAGCTGGTGGCTCTATTGACAGGTGACTGTATTATGAAGGCAGCAACTTTATCAGTGGATTAGGCCATTGATGAGTTTATTGGTGAATGGATTATTAGGAGGTAGAGATTAGTTAGTGAAAGTAAATCTCTGGGGACATGCCTTTCGAAGGGTTTATCTCATCTCCAGACAACCTCCCCACCACCACCACCAGCCCACTCCTGCTACTCTCTCTTTGCATACTGGTTGCATGAGATGAGCAGTTTTCCTCTACCAGAACTTCCTGCCCTGATGTTACTAGTACAACTCAGGCCCAGAAGCAATGGGAGTTGCCAACATGAACTGAAACCATGAACGGAAATAAATATGTCCTCTCTTAACACAGATCTCAAATTGCTCTCAATTTTCCACTCTAGTTATTCTCCATTCAATTCAATTTGACAAATACTTGCACTTTCTGTTCATTTTGGTTAAGAATAGTAGTAATTTGCAGAATCACCTCGGTTTAAAATTTCTTATCTATAAACTTTAGGGTCAAGAATGGTTTTTGGAACTTGGAAATTTGGGGATGGTAGAAAGCTCATATCCAAATAACATCACTATATATAAATCACACCAAATAAAATATAGATAAACTCTTGAGTAACCTAACTTCAAACAGTTTTGGTAGGAGGAGATCAGCTGATAAAGGTTTTTCTTTAACTCAAGTAGACGAAAGTGCAGAAGTTTAAGCTGTGTGATGTGGTGTTTTATTTTTGCGATTTTGAGGACGGTCTCAATATATAGCCCAGGTTGGCTTCAAATTTCCTATATGACCCAAGTTGACCCCGAACTTATGGTCTTTCTGCCTCAACCTTACTCATACTGAGATTGCAGGCATTCAATACCACACTTGGTTTGTGTGCTGTGTTTTCATTTTGTAATGGAAGATACAAAATTTTGGCATACTAGCTTTTTCTTTACAGGGTTGGTTCATTGAGCACAGATTCCTCTTCTATTAAATGTCCTTCTATATCCTGCGGCTCCTGTTCAGTGAGAAGATAGGCCATACTTTTAGTGCCAGGACATGGGCTTTAGCTAGCAACACATTTACTTACCAGGTCAATCATGTTAAGTGATGTCTACTCCCTAATTTTACAGTGAGGAAGACCAAACCACAGATAACTGGTAAATAGCTTCATATCATATGCTATTTACAGGTAGACAAAGGATTCTGATCTATGCTATCTGATATGATTCTGTCCTCTTCACCAGCATGCTTGCTTATATTTGAGAAAATATTGGTTTTCTTCAATGGTCATTTTTCTTCTAAAAATTAGAATTTTTTACTACCTTTATTTGAATATGAATTCATTTCTGGAGGTCTATTAGGTAAATGAATTGACTCCCTATCGTTGCACTATTTAAGAGACTTTACTTTTATGGTTTTAAGAATCATATATTTATTCAAGAAAACCATACCTTTTGAGTTAACTTAGAATCAGTATTATAAATGACATTGAGGTCATTGCAGCAACAATACTCTCAAGCTGAAGTCAGAGGTTATATAAAATTTGTTGAACTGCTTTAGAATACATTTGTAAGCACAGCACCAAGCTTAACTTTAAGTATTTATGTTTAATATTTGGTCATGTTTTTTAATTAATTACCATTTAAATTGGTTAAGAATTTCATGTATAACATATTTAATTTCATATAGAATGCTGTCAAATGAAACAGGATAAAATTAAACATTAGCCTTAAATAAATGAGGGGAGGGAGGATAAAGAAGAACAGAGAATGGGGGAAGGGATAAGTTCAAATATGATATATTTGATATATTGTAAGAACTTTTGTAAATGCCACAATGTACCCCACCCAGCACAACAATAAAAACAAAACAACAAAAATTAGCCTTAAGAAAATTCTATTAAATCTTGGTTAATTATCTTCTTAATCAATAAACTGCCATTTATGTTTTACAAAAACTGTCATGGATTTTGTAGGAATAAGACAAAACAAAAATGAAGAAATAGTGAAATGTATAGTAAAAGAGAACATCATGCTTCAACATGTACACAAATATTTTGTGATTTAGGTCTTTCATATGTTTTGGTATAAACTATTGGTTCTAGGTATGCTGAGATCTGGTGTGTAAAACTACATTAGTTGAATAAAATATAAATTATTCCATATAAGTACAGCATGAATAAATAGGTACTTTTCTTGAATTAATACAAAATATAGCATATTTTGCATAGTAAATTAGATAGCGTATGCATGTACTGAAAACTTGTCCAGTATATCATAACCATACAATGAACAGAAATAGCAGGAGTGCAGACAAAGCAGTAACTCAAAAAGATCAAATGCCCTTTAAACAAATAGCTACACTGTACCAAATGCTCAGCAATATACTTATGTTAAAAGCCCAAGTGTCAAATCAACTGTACTTTCTTCTAGCATCCTTGGAGAACATTTCCACAGCAAGCCCAGCAACAACTTCAGGTCAGTACTTACAGTATTTCAAAAAATATATAACTTTGTGATCATCAATTTTCATGACATTAAGACCAGATGTAGTTTATTTCTGTAGCTCTTTTGGAAATAGTCTTCATATTAAAATGCAAAAGTATATATTAAATAATTCATAATATCATGATGTTCATAATGCTAGTTACATACGCCCAGGATATATATTTCCTATTTCATTGATCTGTGTCTGTGTGTAGCATCCCAAAGACTCATGTGGCCGTGGGGATGAAACCATATTTATAGAATCACTAGGAATGAAATGAAGTTTAAAAGTCATTCAAATGATGACTTTCAAAATGGATTATACAATTCAATGCCTAATGTTAACTACTGTACCTTACGTTCTTCACTCTCTCTTTGTACCTTACCATCTTCACTCTCTCTTTCTAACTTCAATAATCAATGCTCATAAGATTTAGGACTTCATTTTGTCTCATCAGTGTCATACCATTATCAAAAAACTTCTCTGAAAAATTATGAAACATTTAAAAAATCTACTTTAGTGGCTTTAAATGTAAATTTTTTCTTATCGCAGAAAATCCATTAAAATCAAAGCCAAAAGATGGAGCTCTAATTCTGGTTCTGCCAAATGGCAGAATCATTGCACATGTCTCCTCACCCCTCTGAAATTCAGCATCACATATATCGTGAATAATGAAGCTCTTCTGAATATTTCAGACATCATCCTAAATATCAACTTTATGTATAAATAATATTAAATGTAAATTGTCATAAAAACATAAAGAGAATACTTTTATCTATAACCATGACAATTTTCATAATACCTGAAAGCCATTTTTTTTTAAAGTATCCACTTGCTCCAGGGCTATATTTAGCAAACATTTCATCATTTTGTTTACAGAATAAGCCTTCAGGGAAGTGATATTTCTCCTACTTAAAAATAAGTAAAGGAAAAAAGTAGTATGTCGATGGTCACAGAGCTGTTAAGTATCAGTCTCAAAAATCAAAAGCAATTCCTCTTAACTCCAAAGGCCATCGTCGAAACAAATCCCATGCTTCTATTTAAAATGCTTATATTTACCCTGGAACCTTTAAATTCATAGCTGTTATAAAAGAAATGAGTACTAAAATTTAGTTAATGGACACTGAATAACATTCTTTTGTCTATTTAGAAAATGTGAGGTGAGTTAAAAAATCCTAAAATCTGCACTCTATAATCTAAAAATCAATGGATGATAAGTTCATGAGGTGATAAACTTGTTAATTGGCTTGATTTTATCACTTCACTTTGTAAACATGTATCAAAACATCACATTATACTCCATAAGTATCTGTAATCATTATTTATCAATTGTGAAATAATTAAAAGAAAATATAAAAGATTTATTCTTAGATTCAGATACAAATACCACTTCCTAAGTTAATATATTAATAATTCACAATAACTTAAAAATTCTCAGGTGAAATATTAAACAAAATGTATATATAATAAATTCTTCATAATCCCTTTAAGATATGCAATCATTTTTAAATTTCCTATAATTTTACAGATAAGCCAACAACCAGCAGTCCTCTGAGAACTCTAAGCTCGTCTTAATAATAACACTATTTCTATGTGTTTAAAAAAGTGTTCACTCTTGCTTCATTTAGGCTCCTGAAAATTATGTGATACCACAAATATTTATTACTGACTATATTTGATTACTAGCAAAACTGGAACTTTAAAGTTTGCAGTTTTAGCCTAAGATTTTACCAAAAGTTATAATATATTAGGGATTAATACCTGGGTTATTTTACCCTACTCCAGTCTTCTGACGTTTAGAGCCATGGTTATTATCTATTGTTAAGAATGCCATAAATAGGATTAAAATGCTGTCTCAGGTGTTTCATGAGATATGAGGGATTTTCTTCTCTCTATGATTCCGTCTGCATACAGGTTAGATTTCCTTACTCTCTTCTTAGTAAGATACTGTTGCCAAACCACTACCAAACTGGGGTTGGAATCATTCAGTCAATGTTCTCTTTTTAACCAGGTGTCTACTTTATACCAGATCCCATTATGTATCTTAGATGTGCCAATTTCTCTGGATTTCTAATAATTTGTCCACTGTTTCTACCTGCCAGTCAACTAAATGCTTTCTCTTGGCTTGATTTAATCTGCATGTTACATGACCTAAATGTGTTACTAAACCCTTCAAGTAAATTCAATCAATGAAATACTGTGCAAATCTTCAATAAACTCCCAAGAATAATTCCACAGTCCCCCATTTGTGGGATACATATTCTAAGATACCACCTCAGTAGATTCCCAAAACTGCACATAGTAAGTATTAAACTCTCCACAGATTATACCTAATTTACAGTGACTTAACTTACAATTTTTTGGCTTTATGATGGTATCACAGTATACACATCCAAATGTTCTGTTTTATACTTTTAATACAATATGCAATTAATTTTAACATATGCAATTCTTTATTATTAGGCTTTGTGTTAGATGATTTTGCCCAGCTGTAAGATAATGTAAGTTTTCTGAACATATTTCAGGTAGGCTAAGTTAAGCTCTGTTGGTACAATAGGTATTAAATGCCTCTTTTATTTATAAAATTTTCAATAATGATGGGTTTTTCAAGATGTAAATCCACTGGCAATGGAGAAGCATCTCTATATATTATTTTTCTTTATAAATACATGCTTATGAGACACTTTCACTTTTTCATTTTAAGAAAGTATTTTATGATATTTCTTTGGTATATTAAAATTGCCAGTATCACTACTCTTGTGCTTTGGGGCCATTATTAAAAATGAGTTACCTGGGCTAGGGGCATGGCTCAAATAGATTAGTGATAAATTAGTACATACCCAGTATGCATGAGGCCCCAGGTTCAATCTCCAATAATGAAAAATAAAACAGTTATTTGAACCCAAGCACAGTGATAATGTCCTGAGGTAGCTACTAAGTAATTAGTGACTATGTAATGTACACAGCACAAATATGCTGGAGAACAGGGTATTTCATTTCCCTTGTGATATGGAGTAGAATTGTGAAAGACTTCATCATGCTACTTAGAATGGCATTCAACTTAAATCTTACAAATTGTTTATTTCTACAATTTTCCATTTAATATTTTCAGAACATAGTTGACCAAAGGTAACTGAAAACTTGGAAAATGAAACTCTTTAAAAGGGTACTATTTTTATGTTACTAAAATTTACATCACCTGTTTTGTAAAAGCACAAATACTTCCCCTTAGTAAGAATTAATAATTCTTGAATAAAATAGAAGTACAATATTTGAGTTCTAAAGCAGTTCATGCACCGCAAGTCAAAATGCTTTATTAAGCAAGTCATAACAACTCTACAGCCCACAGAGATCTACACAACAGCAGAAGTCTGACTGCAGTTTTGCTTAAGTATATCCACATAACAGCCTAACATTGTAAAACTGTTATTAAGCCCACATTCTTTTCTCCAATATGAAAAAAAAATTTATGGCATCTAAAGTCATCTTTAAAAATATTTTTATCATTGATAATGGCTAATTCCAGTAATCTAAAAATAAACTGAAGAGATAATTTAAATATGTCTTAAGAAATTTGCTCATAAAACTTTGATAATCAGCCACAAATATCTAAATTAGTGTTCTGCTTTCTATTTGCCTGTTTATGGATTCATTGAATGATTCATCTAACCCAATTATTGGAGGGCTTCTTAGCTTCATAAAATGTCCTAAGAGAAACATATGGAATAACTTAGGGGGAAAAGAATCAGTGCTTTAAAAAAAAGCAGCAAGAAAACCTTGAACTTAAAACAAGTTTTTGTCTCTTACTATCTTGAAGACAAACCTAAAAAAATATAGAGTTGGCTGAGTCCTATATGCAGTATCCTCTGGATGAACAAAGAAATGGTGAATGAGGGGACAGAGAGCAAAGGAAAGCACTCCACCCATGTTTCCTTCATTTAAATTACATAACTGTAGTCAGGATATACTTGGCCTTGTTCTTTCCATTTTATATGAGCAACTGATAAGCAGACCAGTGTCTGTGATTTGAGCTTTTGGAAAATTTCTCTTTCCTAAGTATAATGAGTATTTAATTTTCCTGATTTGGAGACTGATCTATATGTCTCATTTTCCTATGTCCCACTGTCTGTTTCATTTTCCACTTTCATATTTTATTAAAGAGAGAATAAATAGGAAGTGCCAACTTTAAACAATATGAGTCATTAATATATTTGGAAGAGATTACAATTTCTAAATTTCTCCCTGAGTTTGTGAACAATAATTACACATAAGATTTTTTTCTTTTTAAATGAGTTTTATTATAAAATGTACATCTTCATCATAAAAAAAATTCAGTGCAAAAGCATATAATGAAAAACAGTTCCTTCTTCTTGCATGAGTCCCCTCAGTCCTTCCCAGAGAAAGCCACTGTTAATAGTTTATGTTCTTGCAGAAGTTTCTATGCACATATTTTTTGGCCAAATGAATTAATTTATAAATTTCCAACTTTATTTTACAGAATAGTAGGAAGCTAATAAGTTGTAAACATTTTCTTCAAATGCTTCTTATTTAAAATTATTTTGGAATTTAAAGACTGTAGCTAGTCTTCCTTTTGTAAAGTATTAAATAAAGATAAATTGCTTGGGACTTAAAAAAATAGACATCGGGAAGCTATAAAAGAACTGGGGCAGTAGCTAGGTGATACAGTGCTCACCTAGCATGCATGGGGCCTTGGGCTCAATCACCAGCACTGCAAAAAAAAAAAAAAAAAAGTAATTGAAAACTATTGCTAATAAGACTCCGGTGAATCACCCATTACCTAAATTCTGTGAATTATGCCATATGTGTTTAGAAAGCTACCAAGCATCTTTGAACTTCATATAATTTATATAAAAGATAAACATTAATATATAAGCCTTAGGCAGTGACTGAGGATTAAAAGAGAGATAATACAGGTATCACTACACCATGGTCAACAAGATGATTCACACATTGGAGGACACTATGTGTACATATTAAATCACTGACTTGGACTGTAAAATAATAATAATAATAATAATTGCATAAAAATTTCAAAAGATTTTTCAATCACTAAATTTAAAGCAAGATGATTATATTTGGTAGGTTATTTAGATAAAAAACTTTGTTTTCAAGCATTTCCTGTTATTTGAAAATGTGTTGAATTACTATAATCAATTCACAAAGAATTATTATAAGGTAAGTAGTTGGGAAAATATCATATTCCACTTTGTGCTAAATCCATGTACTACATGAGTTCTGAATCATACTTCTCATTTATTCCTCTCATACAGCAAGATACTATAGATTTATAGAGGGGAACGAAGCAATTAAACTTGAAAACTGCAGTTTCCAAGCAGTAATTTATTATGAATATGTCTTTCAGGGATGTTAAGTTTATTCTCATTTTTATATGCCTGGAAGATAGAGTTTGAGAAAAATCAACAAATGCATGCATCATATACCTGGCATTAGCACCAGTATAAATTCTGCCAAAGAATATTTTTATATGATAACTGGTACAAAGCCCGTGAGGATTGTGTTCTGTTGTTCAACTGTGTTTGTTGCCAATTACTGTAATGCTATACCACCCATTTGAAACTCTAGAGGAGAGAAGTAGGAGCTAAGGTCACATTATACGGATTGATTTCTTGGCTGCTACAGAGTGCCTGGAGGGGCTGTTTTGGGCAATTGCTCGTGTGCTTGAAGGGTTTCTAGACCACAGCCTGCTCTAGTTCTTTGTTGTTGACTGTGCAGGCAATGATTACAGAAACACAAAAGTTTCACTGTCGTGGGCTTCCTGAATCTCATACAAAATGCAATCTTCCTAAAATTCTATTCCGTGGGGGATCTAGGGGGGTAGAAGAAGAAGAGTAATTGGCTGTTTTTGTGACAAACATACTTTTGGGCCCAAAGAACCTTGGGAAGAATTATGCCCCTCCACTTAATTGCTGCAAGATTGACATGTAGAGACTATCTTCTAACAAATGTATTGAGAAAACAATATTTATGTATTGCTAGACATTTTCTTCTAACTGAAGATACTCCTGCTCAAATGATATCGGGACTATTAAAGTGTCCTCCCACTGTAATTTCATCTGGATTGAAATGCAATAGCCTTGCTAAAAGACTTCATTTGCTAAATCAAAGCAATTGGGAATTTCTGTAATATGGTATCTATTTTCCAGTACAGTGTAGTGAAGTGAAATTGATCTGTAAAGGTAGACCTCTGAGAATTTAGATTCTACTCCCACTACAATAAGCTATAAGGGTCTTGGACAATATATCTCAAATACTTTGACCACCCAGTACTATTATTCCCATTTAAATGATAGTGAAAATAATATCTAAGATTTCCAAATTATGATTTTTAATTTGTTCTTTTAAAAAATTTTATGTAAGTAATCTAGGATACACAATAATAGATTGTAGCCTTTTTATCCCCCATAAAGCCTAGCATATACGGAATCTTTCCTGATACAAACATAGACAATTAAAACTTTTTATCTGAATAATTTTAAATAATGCTAACTTACTAGAAGGCTTTCATAATATGTAAAAATCAGTATCCTGAGTAAAATACTATACAGATATAAAAACATGTGCCATACATTTTTCCACTCAAATTAATAGTGTCTAACATTCATGAATTTAATAAACTTTTAATAACTAAACCAATTATTATTCTCTTTATGCACATTTTTTTTTTGTCTAGAATTCAATAGCTCTTAAAATTTTTCTGTAAGGAAGTACAGTTTGGAGCAAGGCGTAGCATGACCACAATCTCAACTACACAAGAAGCAGAGATTGGGAAGATAGCTCTTCAAGGCTGGTCCAAGACAAAACATTTGAGACCCTGTCTCAACCACAAGCCGGGCATTGTGGTACACATCTGTGATCCCAGCTACTAGGAGGCTTAGGAAGGAGGATCATTGTCTGAGGCCAGGCCCCAGGCAAAGACACATGTAACCCTATCTGAAAATAACTAAAGTGACAAGGAATGGAGGTGTGACTCAAGTGGTAGAGCATCTGCCTAACAAGTGGGAGTTCAAATCCCAGAACTGCCAGAAAAAAAGAAAAAAGTACAGTTTGTAACACATTGCTTAGAGAAGAAATATCAGTGCAATAATTAAGGAATGCAATGCAAAGCAAGTAGTGCACAAGTGAAAGAACTCTCATTTTAACAATACAATGCAATTAAAAACTGACATGTGACAAATTTCTATAACAGCTGATGTTTTAATCAATAGTTTTGTCAGAAATTGTAATTATAAAAGAGTATATAAGTATGTGTTAGAGAGATTACTAGGTAAAATACAATTTGAAAAAATTCTAAAACTCATTATTCTTGCATAATACGTAGATTCCTATTTTCTATCTTCAATTTCCAAATGAGAGACTTCTCTTTCTTTGTAGATCAAATCGGTTGAAGTGCACTTATGAAATAGTCTGTAGAGAAAAAGACTAAAACGCAAATAAGAGTATTTAATATTTCTACCTTCAAATGAAAATACTTCAGACTACCTATTTTTAATCCTTCATCTTTTCCTCTCACAATCACAATTGTGACTGATGATCATCCTGTAGCCCCCTTTTCTGTCTCCTCTGATCGTGGTCGGTGGCTCACTTGGTCACTTCTGTAAAATGGCAACTGATTCCAGGACAATTCTCTTCTGCCAGTGAGTCAGCCTGCATCAACTTCTACTGGATCATTAACTAGCTCTTGATTGGTCTTTCCTTTCCACATGATTCTCCATGACCCCAGAAATTTCCTTTATGAGATATATGTTGGTCATTTCACACAAATTCACACAAAAATATGGAAACTTTCAATGTCCCTGCCTATGGAGAAACATTTCTAAGACTTAACAAAGATGAAAGTGTCACCCAAACCAGGCACCCCCCTCTGTCCCTATTATGATTCCTAGAATCATTCTGCCATGTACATAAATTAGACTCATCTGTTTTCTATGTATTGAAGTGTTCCTGTCACATCAGCACAAACATTCCACATAGCTGTTCAGCAGCACTTCTAGTATCCTTCAAAAATCTTGTTTTAATGTGACCTCTTTCATAAAGTCTTTTAATCCCTGCCTCAGATGAAAACAAATTCCTTAATCTATGGTATGCACATAGCAATTTTTTATTACTATTTGAAAAAATAATGAACCAGTTTCCTACATCAAACTCTGAGAACAGTCTGCCTTACATATCCTATTATCTCCATCTCATAAAATTCCATAACACAAAGAAGTAGACAATAAACACCTGTGGAGTGAGTGAATGATCATTAACAGGATCAAGGGATCCAAAATGCTCTGCCTTGAAAATGTAATTCAGTAGAGTAGGGACAGAAAGGTGGAATTCAGGATGTGAACTCTGTTGAGAAGCATTAGAACAGACAAATTTATGTGTCTCCAAACCTAGTCTTTCAAGTGCTAGAGTCATAGAATATTATTAGCTTGTATTAAAATAAGATGGAGATTCAAGTACAGCACTTTTAACCATCTATATGTTTATCAAGTGTTTATGAAATACTATCAAATGTATGGGACTCAATGAATAATACCTTTCTTGATAAATAAGTTATATATATCTCAGCAAATTCAATGTACATTTAGATTTATTAAATGACATATTCAGTATTAATTTGCATTTTCATAAATGGGGAATTCTGTCATTTGAGACTAGCTCTGATCTCTATGTTCTATTTTAGATGTTAGTGGTTCCATGAAGTTTTCAATGGTCTATGTCCCTTTTACATAGAACCAGTTATAAAAGCCTAATTTAGTTGTCAAAGTATTCAGCAACCATGCCTATAAATGTTCTTAATCAAGTGTTGTCTGAGTAAATTCACTGATGCAAATATTTTTATTTTTTCTAGTTAATTCTATAGAGCATAAATTTCAATTTTTTAAATAGTTTTTAAAACCCAGCAGATGGCAGTACAGTGCTGGCTTTAAGATTAAGAACAAAAACAAAACAAATGATATTTTGTTAAAGATTTCAAAAACTTCAAATCATTGTTATTCCAGTAACAGAACAAAATATTCAAATTTCCACATAGTTCTGCAAATAGACACATATGTCATAGCTTGGAGGCAAATAAGAATACGTTTTACTTTTAACGCACTTAAAATTTTAGTTGATTTCTAGGAGTAAAATCTGGTTTTTGGTGCATCTCTCTGTCTATGCGTGTGGACATAAACAGGTGAAGGATAAGACAGGCTGAGAGCTGCAAATTGATCCATTCCTGACTGGAGTATGACACAGAACTCTGCAGGGGTGTTGTCTCTTATCCTCTAAGAATCCATCAGTCAAGAAGCAAAGAGATATAAAAGCAAAAATAGCCATTGAGTTTCTCCACTGCTCAATGTAGCAATACACTTAGAAATTTAAGTGTTTTATCTTACCTTAATGATGACTTTCATTGGTATATTTTACTCTGCAGGATGAACATCTCTACCGAAGTCACTATATTTTCAAATAATAAATTCATGAGTAAATAAAGTGGCTAGTAGATATTGTTGATAACATGATAAACTTGCCAATAAATTATCCCACATAACACTTAAAACAGTGCTAGGAGGTACAAACATTAGAAACTAAATGCCTACACTGTAGTATTAATTTATCAAGGTTAAAATACACAAAGTAAACATTCATATTTAATTTTTTTCAAAATTTAAAATCCTGTTTATGTTTACAATGACTGACTTATTAAATAAAGTCAATTAAACTATATTCTTATAAGACCTAAAAAAATAACAAATACTAAAATATTTTATATAACTCACTAATTAGAAATTAAGTCTACTGAGCAAGAATTTTACAATTTAAATCTTTTTTTTAAGGAAATGTCTCAATAGAGTGCCTACCTGCTTCATGGCCTTGTGCTAATGCTCTGAAGTGCATAGCAGTTGATTTACTTTGCGATGGAGAAATAAATTGTTCAGATGGTTCTGATGAAGATGATACAACCTGTGGTAAGGTCACCCACCTAGTCCATCTCTTCCATTCTTTTTCTCCTCCTTCAAGTTACACACATAAGCACACATACCAAAATCTCAGATATCATAAACTACTTAATAATAAAGTATCCAGGGCTGGTAGAGTGGTTCAAGTGGTAGAATGCCTGCCTAGCAAGAATGAGGCCCTGAGTTCAAACCCCAGCACCACCAAAAAAAAATGAAGTATCCAATTGCCACGTGTATAATTTTATATAAAATCTAAAGACATATTTTCCTAAACTTTATTACATAATGTTAAACATTAATATCACAGAATTCTATTTGATGATTTTGTAAAGGATTTTGTATTAAGTGATGTTTGTAATTCATGTGGGGACAGATGGTGACTTTATTTAACCCTTGCTCTATATTAAACTACTCTGAATTCATGTGAAAATGATTTCTTATATAACTCATTACTAATGTTTTTCCTCCTTCATATCATAATATCAGTCATTTTCCCCTTTTTGACAGAATCTAATTCAGTGAACATCACCCAATTTTGATTGTTGCTTTGCCTCTTGTAACTCTGTGAATAGAGTGGTTATAATTAACAACGTAACTTCTCATCAATCAAAAAACTCGTGTTTCATCTGTACATTTTGATATTTGTTTTGAGGGTTTTTAGCTTATTATTTTACTATTAAACACTTAAGTGGCACTCTCTGTACACCAAGCATTATTCCAAGTGATTAAACCAGCTTTCTCGTTGCCTGTGTCTTCATTTAATAACTGAGTTCCATTTAGAAAATATTACAGGGAAGCAATATCCAACTGCATAATTTCATGTGTAACATACCTAAGAATATTACCAAAACACTGTAAATATAGATTGGTAAGCAATGAGAAAACCAATGTAAAGGTTTAACCTATAATTCATTTTCAAAAAATTAAACTGAAAGCATGAATTGAACATTTTTTGGGTGTGGTTTGTAATCAGTTTTAAAATCGACGGTGAGTATAATCAGTTCCTTCCATGTGTTAAGGACTGTAGTTACTATTTGCTGTACATTTCACCATTTGTTATACTTTTCTGATCTTGGGAGACATTAATTGAAGATGAATGTTCCAATAAGGCCTAAAGTTTTTGTTTTGTTTTGTTTTTTAAGTTGCCTCTCCACTTAGTACATATGTTCTAAGATGGGCATTTGGTCTGTTTCCCAGGACCAACTCAACAAAAGGCAAATGTACTAAAGAGACTTCCACTCAGCAATCCCAATTCAAATGTTCTTGGATAAAATTCAAACCTGCAAAGTTTAAGTCCATGCTTTGAAGTGCACTCAGAACATATTGGAAGAAAATGCAGGCTACAGAATATTTTTAAATCTATTTTATATAACTAAGTTACTCAAAGAGGAAGAAAGTGATATTTTATATTACAGTTTTCAGGCATTTTCTAAAACCTTTCCAGGGAGAATATGATACAAGTGTGCCATCATGAGGTAACAGAGGTAGTGTTGATTTGTATTTCAAAAATAATACTATATATCACACATAACACTAAGCCTATACAATATTGGTTACTAATTTTAAATGCAGGAAAGCATAACTAATAGATAAATAGAATAATCAGTATCTACCCTCATGGAGTTCATAATTTTCATGAGAAGTTAATATCTGTCAATCATATCAAAAAAACCACTAGTATTATGTAAAACTGATAATTTGTCACAAAATAATTTTTAAAGCAGTAAACTATTTTTCTGACCCACTATAAACTCTTGAGATTAGCTTCAGGATTAGCCCTGAAATAATTATCTAATTTGATTTGAAGACATAACCAAGCTGCAATTTTACTCTTTAGTACCACAGTGATTTTAGATTTAATAAACATAAAAGTAAAAACTACTCATTTTGCATTTTTTCATTGTCTAATTTGCGTTTTAAAGTTAGCACTGCATCTCTTCTTGGAAAATAAATTTAAATCATTTATAAAATAAGGTACCACAAAAAACAATCAATTACTCTATCTTTATACAATGAGAGCTTAAGAGTACAACCAATTTATTCATCATTGATGGTGGTGAACTTCAGCACCAACTTTAATTTTTAGTGGCAAAAATTTCAACTCAATGCTCTTGTCCATCAACCTACATTCACAAAACAATTCAACCAACTAATTTAAGAGAATGTTCTCTGTATGAAATTGACCTCTAATCTCTGTTACTTATTTATTTTGCACCAGCTGTGAGCACTAATTCTAGTTTGTGTTATTAATAGAGTCACATTAATGTTGACTTCCTCGCACAGCTTCTTTTTTTAGTCTTTGGTTATTTAGGTTTGCACAACTTATAGCTGGCTATAGCTAAGCAAGATTTCTTTAAATTGTTTTCCTTTTTTGATTAGAATGGATCAGCAAGAAATTCACTTTTTAGCTGACCTATGAGGAGAAAAGATGCTCATTCACCATCTTTAGGCTAAGGTGCAAGACTAAATGAAAGTTGTCAAGTGCCCTTATAATTTGCATGGATCAAATGCGTGTGCGTAACAGATTTTGGTGGGCCATCATAGATCATATTTGATTTATGTATCTTGGAGAATTCAATGCCCTGAGCAAACACACAGTAAACATTGAGCCAGCAGAGGGAGCTCTCAGTGGGTCCTAAACACATACTGAGAAATTCCTTAAGAAATTATCTAAGGGATTACCTTAAGAATTCTGTCTTTGCAGACAGCAATTCTGATAGTGCAACAGAATGGCTGATATCTTTTGACAGGTTCATTTATCTCCCGCTCAGAATTTTTTTTTCTGATACTACACTAGAACACTCTGAGAAATCCACATAGTCAAAACCCTGAACACCCCAAAATTCTACTCATCAATGGCTGAGTTACATATTTTTAATCTTCAAAGCCTATCTTGCTTCATTATCCCATGTAAAATTAGTTTCTCCAGAAATATCCTACAATTAAATGAAAAATATATAGGAATGCTCTTAATACTATCCTACATCATGAAATGATGTTTGACTCTGAACATTGATATCATAAGTAATTCAATACTGTTAGAATTTTATTGTAAACTCCTTCAGGAATACTATCCATCTTTGCACAGGAGGAGGAATTACCAGACATCAATTACAGCAGACATTGATTATCTATTGCCAATAAAACTTTGCAACTTCATAGAAAACTGGAAGGCAAATTGGTCATATTCTTTAGGATAGGCTTAATACCATGATACACAATTTTAGCAATTTAGGACAATAGCAGTTTATTTTTCACTTATATCACAGTCCTCAGAGTCCTCCACAGACTCTTTTATAAATTACTCACAGATAATACACCCAATTCGGAAATAAACACAATTACTTCTACAATATCTTGTTAACCAACTCAGTCCAATGACTCTATCTGACTGCAAGAGTTCAATCATGTACTTTGGGAAGAGCTGAAACAGGGTCTGACAGGCATACAAAAACTTCTGCCACTATGTAACTCAACTTTGATATGTAACTCAGCTTTTTGGAAGCTTATGAATTCTGTTGTGCAGCACAAAGCTATTGATACCTTTCCTAAGACATATATAGTGAATGAATTTGAAGAATTACTAGAAGTTCAAGAACTTTTGTAAAATTGTTTTACAACTTCTTAAACTTGACTTGGTTTCTTAGTTTAATTTGATATTCATTTATTTATTTTTCTTCCTTCTGAGTGTTCTACTACAAGCATGACCTGTATTTTATTTTTACAAACATTGGAACTTATGAAATATTTTTAAATTCCCTGCTTCCTCTTTCATCTTACTTTCCCTAACCTATTTTCAGCTCAAAATATATGGTATGTTGTCTATGTGACCTCTATTGTTGTATTAGGAAATGTAACACAGTACCTTCTAGAATAAGAATGCCACCTTTGAATTGTTTCTTATAAACTGCTGGAGACTTTATGCTAATTACACAACACTCTAAAATCCAGGATTGCTTCTGTCTAATACCAACTGTCCTTGTCTGTAGCCACTGCTTGCGATGGAAAATTTTTGTTGACTGGATCTTCCGGGTTTTTCCAGGCTGACCATTATCCAACACTGGCTAAGTCAACTGTTGTTTGCCAGTGGATCATACGGTAAGATGCCATCTTCTGTGTCGATTTTTAGTCCTAAAGTCTTATTACTTTCAGTAATTTTTTTTAACAATTGTTGTCTTCATTAAATATGAAAAAAAGTCCTATCAAATGACAACCTGCTCTAAATGTTTCTCTTTCACTCTTAACCTTTAACAAATATTCTGTCCTAAGAAAAATGCTGTATCATAAATAAGACCATGTGATTGGGCTTTAAAGAAAATTTTATTTTTTTCCAAAATATTACCTTAATACAAATACTGTACTTCATGATTAGTCAAATAAATAATGACTCAAAGTGTCACTAAATTTTAGATGCATTATACCATGTAGTTTGTTTTTACCAATAGTGATCAAAGTTTATTTAATGACAGTGATTTTTCTATAAGCCAATTAAGACCAATTAAGTAGAGCAGAAATAATTAATATACAATTAAACTACGTTTTGGAGTAATCTAGCCCATTCTTGACATTGTGATTACACCCAGCATAATACCAATGGATATTAGAGAACCAACACTCTTTGTGGGGTCAAATCTAGCTCTTCAGATTCAAGATCACAGACAAATAAACCTCTTTGGCCCCAAGTTTCTGTATCCATAGACTTCAGAATCTTTAACTACAGAGTTCAAAATTATTCTAAAATCTAACAATGAATATAAAGTGTGTAGTACATATTAATTATTCAATGAAAAACACTAAAAAGACATTAGTTAATAATACAATATTACAAAGTGCATACATTATACTTAAAAAGTGCCCATTTTTTCTTTTAAGTTACAAGGTAACCAAGGTGCCAAATATTCTAAAAACATATGATTATAATACTCTATTAATCTTACTTTTATAAGTGCCTCTTTTCATTGCAAATAAGTTTTGCTTTTGTGACTTAGAAGAAAGTAGAAAATGTATACAGTTGTTCTTCTCTTCTGCTTCCAATTATCTAGTCTGAGAAGGCAGAGGACCCTGAACACAAAGGCTCCTAGCATGCTTTTCTCTTATTCTTTAGTATCATAGCTTGAAAGCCATAGGACAGGAAGAACACACAATTTTCTTGCCTAGGGACAGCAGAACTTTAACTAAAAGAACAGAAATCATCCCTGAAGTGAACTTTATTTCTTCAGTCTTTATCTTCTCCACCTTTGACTCTGGATTCCGCTCATGTTTTACCAGCAAACTAACTCTGCCTTTTCGCTGAATCGACCTAACAGAGCCAGAACAAAAATAAACAGCTGCCACCCTTAGCTTTGCTCTCCTCTCAAGCTGGGCTGTGAATATTGCTGCTTTTAATATTCATCCCCTTTCTCCTGTCAAACTTCTGAGGATCCCAAGAACTTCTGAGCATAGCTCATGAGTATGGCATGCCCCACACCTACCTCTCATTCAAGTGGCCATGACTCAAATTTATGAGCTCCTCACAATTGCTCTATCAAATTAAATCTATCTGATGAACCTGTCACACTTTTCTTTCTATGCACTTATAATGACAGCTACATAGATGATTTTTACATCAGCAAGTCTGTGGTAATTTCTATAAATACTGGACAGTAAAATGATGAGTAAATTAATTCCTCTTTTTGAGTCATGTAAATTCTGATAGACAAGACAATTAAGTATGTAACTGAGACTTGTACAGTGTGATAGGTGCCATGAAAATGCACATAGGTTGGAGGACTTAGTGTTGTCGAAATTCTCATACTTCCCAAAGTAATGTGCAGATTCAATGCAATCTCTAACAAAATACTACTAATGACATTTTTATAGAAATTGAGAGAAATCCTAAAATTCACACGGAACCCCAGAGGAGCCTGAATAGCCCCAACAATCTTGACAATGAAGAACAAAACTGGAGACCTCACAGTTCCTTATTTCAAAACATATTATGAAGCTAGAGTAGGCAAAACAGTAATGTACCGGCATAACACATGCACCAAATTACAAACAGACAGCACAGAAGTAACCACTTGGAAATACAGTCGAATGCTCATCAACAAGGCTGTGAAGACTACACAAGAGGAAGAAGATAATCTCTTCAACAAACAGTGCTAAGAAAACCTATAATCCACATGCAAAAGAATGAAATTAAACCCTTATCTCAAAATTTACATAAACTTTTACTCATAAAAACCTATAATCCTAAAGAAACCTAGCAGGAAACTAGAAATCCGTTTTTGACTTTGAACTTGGCAATGATTTCTTGGCTATGATACAAACAATACAAACAACCATACATGAATAGGACTACATCAAACTAAAGACCTTCTGCACAATAAAGGACATAATCAACAGAGTAAAAAGGCAGCCTACAGAATGAGACAAAATACTTGCTAATCATATATATGCTAATGAGTAATTATCTAAAATATGTAAGAAATTTCTATAACTCAATAGCAATGCAGAGAAGAACCTTATTTAAAATGGACAAAGACTTTAATAAATATTTTTTCTCAACACATAAAAATAGCTATGAGTACATGAAATGATACTCAATATCCTAAATCATAAGGGAAATGTAACATAAACACAAAGAGATATTGCCTTATACTTGTTAGGGTGGTGATTACAAAAACCAAAACAAAATAAGAAGTGTTGGAAGAATGTGGAGAAATGGGAATCCTTGAACACTATTAATAAGAATGTAATATGATGCAGCTGCAATGCAAACAGTATGTTTCTACAAAAAATATGGTACATGCTAGTTCTGGGTATTTATCCAAAAGAATTGAAATCAGGATCTCAAAGGTGTATCTGTAATCCATTGTTTATTTTAGCATTATTCACAATATGCAAGAGGTAGAAGAAACTGGATTTCCATCAACAAATGAAGGAATAAGGAAAATGTAGCATATACATACATTGGAACATTCATTGTCCAGCCAGAATAAGGAAGGGATTCCTATCTATGGTAGAACTTGAATGAAACTCGAAAAACAGTATGTTAAGTGAAATAAGCTAGTCACATGCGGTAAATGCTACATGATTTCACTTATGGGAAGCAATTCAAGCAATGAAACTCATGGAAATGAAGTAAAATGGTGGTTTCAGGGATTGGAAGGACAAAGCAATGAGGGATTTTTGTTTAATGGCCTTTTTAATGAATGAATGGCTATGGCATTTCAGTAGTTCTAGATGAGTAAGTTCTAGAGATCTGCAGTACAGCATTGTTTTGATAGCAATACTGAACTGTACACTTAAAATTTGTTAGTATAGTATGTCTCATATTATGTGTTTTTAAAAGAAAATACAATGCACTTTAGTTCTAGAATGGATTAAAAATTAAGACAACTAGTTATAAATGTTTTAATCTACTTTTTTGTTTTAATTTAGTGTAAACCAAGGACTTTCTGTTGAACTGAAATTTGATTCTTTTAATACATATTACTCAGATGTGTTAAATATTTATGAAGGTGTTGGACCAGCCAAAATCCTAAGAGGTAAGCTAAAACAAATATATAGTCCACTAGTAAAATGAAAATACATGCAGGAGCTTTTTGGGCTAAGATGTTTTCTCTGATTTGGAACTGAATGTGAACTTAAAATTTAAGTTACTGAAGGGAAAAAAGCAAAATTGGTCCTTATTATAAAAATTAAGAAATTAGCATACTATGTAACTATATAATCTTCTTTGTAATAAAATAGTTACTATTTCACATAATATTTTCTAAATGACGTGTAAAAAGCATTTAAAAGAAACATAGTGGTATATTTTTGTTACGCATTATTTAAATATTACTTCCCACTAAACAAAATTCAGACCAGTTCTAAAAATTATTAATTGTATTTATCTCCAATCACATAGGTTATAAACTCATAGACTCTTTGTTCTTATTTTCAATCTGCTCCTCAGTCTCTTGCAGAACTATTTCTAATAAAGTGGGTGAAGTAGTGTCTAACATAAGAAGTAGACTTGGTAAGGTGTAGGTGTAGATAGCAGTGCTGCTACACAAGCATTTATCCTTAGTACAGACTGAGGGAAGCTGAGAGGAAGTCAGGGAACGCACTAGTAACACACACATCTTGCCCCATTTGCTTCCCTTGGGCTCAAATGCAAAGTCCTGTAAATAGTAGCCAATGAAACTAGCTGCAAAATTCCAGCAGGAGATTAAATGAGAATGAAAAAAGCAGTGTGGACTAGAGTAGAGAGACTATTTGGCTTTTCTTATACTGTGGGGAAACAGCCAAGTGTAGAGCAAGATGAGGTTGCAAGTGACACCTGATATTAAAGGTTAGTGATTCACCTTTAGAATTGTATGTGTGGCTGATGAAAAGTGAATGCTATCTAGCATTTAGGAAATAGTTTTTTAGGAAATATTTAAGCATAGTCTAATAATATTTCATTTTTTGTTGGATTCTATTTATCAGGCATTGTGCTGAATGATTTACGTAGATTTTCCCATTTAAAATGTTTGATACTCCTGCAAATTGTTTATTTAAAATAAGTAAAACAAGGCCTAAGAGATTAAGTGACCACAAGTTGACAGTGTTAATTAGTGTTAGAGTCCAAAATCAACCCTGAAAGTCTCTGACTTCAAATACAATGCAGCTATCCATTATGTTTTAAGAGTTCAAGTATAGGACTGGAATTGTGGCTCAATGATTGGAGTTCTAACCCCAGCTCCACCAAAAAGCAAAAACAAAAACAAAAACAGCCCAAGTACAAATACAGTTATAAATGTACTTAAAACATGTCAACTCATACTAAGTCACATTTAAGTTTAAACAAATGAGTCAATCATTTCATAACGCATTTATTTCTGTAGATAACAGAAGCAGTTCTTTTAAATTATGACCAAGAAGTATTTACATAGCTAGACAAATATATTCTCATTCATATACATATCATCAAAGGTTTACGTATCGATAAATTTTCATCATTTACTATGTATAAAGCAGTGTTGTAGGTGCTTCATCAACTTAAAAATGTTCCTCCAAACCAGTTATGTAGGTGCTATTATAATCTCTACTGTACAGATAGTAAAATCTAAATTCATAGAATTATGAAACTGCCAAATGTAATTATAAGTAACCTTCATTTTCCTTTACTCTGCAAATACCATGATTTGACTAAACACTATTTTCACATGCTTAGAGTGTAATTTATAAAAGTTAAAATAATTATGCATAGTGATGTGAATAATATACAAATAATTCCTATAAAATATAATATGAAACTAAAAATCCAAGTAAGAAAAAAATCTATGAAAGTATATTTAAATTATAACAAAGGTAGTTCTTTAAAGTATTTCTAATAAAAATCAATTTCAAAGATTTGAAAATTATATTAATTTTAACCAAAAAAAATTGAGAAAGGCTATTGGTTGTTAAAACTTACATTATAAAGTTAAAAATAATAACTTTTTCAAGGAAAGAAAGTATTTCACTCTCAGGATTTGTCATAATGCCTGGTATATTATAAAAACTCACTATTCACTGATTTTGCTAGAGTTTTCTGTTGCTTTTACAAATACCTAAGAGAAACACCTTAAAGAAGGAAAGATTTATTTTGACTCATGTTTTCAGAGGTTTCAATCCATGGACAGCTGGCTCCATTGCTTTGGACCTGAGGCAAGGCCCAGTGATCATGACAGCCAGGAAACAGAGACAGCTGAGAAAGAACACATATTAGCAAGCTTCCTCCTTCATTGTTGTTCCATCAGAGCTCCCAGCTATTCAATTATGACACTCACTTTTAGGGCTGATCTTGCTCAGTTAGTTGCTGTCCCTTGTGTCAGTGCCTTCACAAACACTCTCAGAAGTATGTATTACCAATCTCTTGTGTCAGAAAACAATGAAATTGGAAATCATGATTTTCAATCATCATCTTGACTTAACTTTACACTACTAGGCTCATATTTCTATCATATGTTATTATATTATGTAGCTAAAGGAGGCAAGTGGTATTTCTCAGAACTTCAGTTATTTTATATTAAAATGTACATGTTTTCATAATTTACAAATCCATTTTTCTAAATTTTTAGCAAGTTTTTTTATATGAAAAAATGCTTATCAGAATTATTTTCACTAAATTCTAATTCAGAGTATATATTTCAAATGCCAATACCACTTTAGCACAAATTGATTATTTAGAGAAATTATAATGAAATCAATCATCAAATACCATGAAATAGTAATTACATACTTGATGAGTGTACTTAGTATAAACAAATTCCAAGACATTTTTCAATCACTTTGAGAAATGGTTGTGATGTAAAAGTTCTCTAACTAATAAAACATGTTAGAGCAAGATTAGCATTACATAAAGAAAGATGATAAATACAATATGGTCTTCAAATACTTTGGAAATTGGAATTGTATTTTCCAAAAAGTCAATTTAAAAATGGTTCCTTTAGGTTGCAATGATGAGGTGTAATATTAAATTCAGTGGTGGTAATAATGATCAGTACTGGGTATATAGAAAAGGGCAAAATACAATGAGTGAGTTCACTTAAAATTTTATTCAGAAAAATTCATAAATGTTTTCTTGCATCCTTAAAAAAAAACACAACAGTAATAGCCTGAAACTGATTTATAGTTGCCAAATCCAGAAAATGTGTTTCTGGGTATGTGATTATTATGTCATTCTTTATTTTACAAGCACTTAGCTAGTATTCCATTCCTGTGTCATTTGTTATATTTCAGATGCTCAGCTAATCCACAGGGTAGGATTGCTGGAAGTATATCCAATTGTGTAAGACCATGCTAAAATTAAATGTGCATTGGAATAACAAAAGCCCTATAATAAACACAATGGATCTTTCTGATTTGTCAATTTATCTTACAATAAAAAGAAACATTGTGGATATGGAATTGAGTAATATATGCAAATATATTTTTGATGGTAAAGCATTTTTGGTAAGCTTTATGCTTTCATTGGGATACTTTTGTTTAAACTCAAAAGTTCAGGGATTCATTATTTGGAAATATTTAACAAACATTGGCTTAAAAAAATGGTGCTTCCCAGGCTGAAGGTATGGCACACGTGATAGAACACTTGTCTAGGAAGCATGAACCTCTGAGTTCAAACCCCACCACACCACCATACCCTCTTCCAGAAACCGCAAAGATAACCTAATCATAGCATCTGGCAAAAGAATTCCTTCCTCAGTGTTTCCATGGCATTTCTCTCATATTAAATAATTCTAGAGTTATTTTAAAATAACTCGCCAACCTGAGTTTTTCTAATAAGGTCTGCTTATTTCTTCTCCATATCATCAGCATTTGGTCTCATACTTAATTTACAGTGGGCACTCAATAAGATGTGTTGAATATATTAGAAATTGTCTGAATCATAAAGGTGACAATCTAATGGCAGCATTCATACTTTTATAAATTGAATACACTAAATAGCTTTGAACTGTCTGTAAAAAGTCTGTCACTTCTTTTCTTTGCCCTCTTTTTAAATTCCCCTGCATTCTTATATTTCCCTGCTCTCCTCTTTCACAGAAACAATTTGCTAGAGTTATTGCTGACAGAAGACAAATGATGAGTTAACTTACTTTTAATTGTAACTACTCAGCATGTCTATGTGCATTAATAGCCATAGAAGTACTGAATTTTGGAGGAAGACCCTGGATTTTCTTAAGGAATAAATGTCAAGAATTTTATTCTATTGCCAGATGAGATGGTTTCCTCCTGTAATTCCAGCTACACAGGAGATGAAGATAGGGTGATCACAGTTTGAGGTCAGCTTGGGCAAAAGTTAACAAGACCCCCATCTCAACCTGGTGTGGTGGTATGTGCTTGTCAATTCCAGCTACAAAGGAGGTGTAAATAAGAAGATCAAAACCTGCCTGGGCAAAAACACAGGACTTATCTGAAAAATAACAAAAAGCTAAAAGGTCTGGTTCTTAAGAGATAGACTGTTTACCTTTCAAATGCAAGGCCTTAAGTTCAAAACCCTAGTACCACCATAAAACTAAATTAAAATACTAAACCATTCTGTCTTTACTTGTTTTTCATTAAATTATGATTAAGAAACATTTTTGGCCTTTTTTCCATATTGCTTCCTTTGTAATTTTAATACTTCTTGCATTCTGTGTGTTTGTTTATATATTTAGATCTGGGCTTTACACATTTAACATTTCAGACAATGATTTTTATAAATCATCCTATGGAAACTTTTTATGAATACAATGCTTGAGAATGAAAAATGGAAAAGATATTCCTTAGGAAGCTTAGAATTAAAACAAAACAATGATACTCCTATACTTCTAAAAAGTAATTTGCAAGTCACTTAGTATTATTTTGAGGGCCTGCAATTATATGGGTAGAGAACTAAAGATAAACTGAGGGCTTTGCACTTGCAAAGCTGGTGTTTACCTCTTGAGCCACATCTCCAATCCATTTTGCTCTGGTTATTTTGGAGATAAAGTCTAGCATGATGTTTGCCTGGGCTGGCCTCAAAACACAATCCTCCCTGTTGGCCTCTCAAATAGCTAGGATTACAGATGTGCCTCCAGTGTCCAGCAACTTGTGCTTAGGTGCTTAGAAAAAGACACATTCCAGTTAAAATTAATTAACCATAAGTGAAATATTTTTTAACTGAGTGGTATCAGGCAGATAGATTGATAGATCAAGACATAAACTGGTAAGTTAATGGATGGATGGGTGAATACATATTAACATATAACAGTCATTCATTTTCTTTTGTAGCTTCACTTTGGGAAACTGATCCTGGCATAATCAGAATTTTTTCCAACGAAGTTACTGCCACCTTTCTTATACAATCTGATGAAAATGATTACACAGGCTTTAATGCAACATACAGCGCATTTAACAGCAGTGTTCTTAATAGTAAGTAGTATGTATTATCCTTTGAATTTTCAGATGCTTTAATACTTTAGAAAATTTTTCCTTTTTTAAGTTCTTTATTGAGTCTCTTATGTGCATCTCTTTTACCAGATGCTTAGAAAGAAACAATGAATTAGAAAATACCTTATATTCTTCACAGGAATCAAATAAATATTTGAGAAAAATAATGAATTCATATAAAATAAAATTTAAAATATATATACAGCAATTATTGCAAATAAAAAAAATTTCCAAAAACCTAGTTCAGAAAACTGTCCAAATGAGCTGACTTTTGATCAAGGAAAAATATGAGACAAAGTTCATGTGGTAAACCAATGGAGAGAGTTGTAAAAATTAAATAACAAACACTGTGTTTGCAAATCCCTCGGTGGATATAACACAGTCAGAAACAAAAAGCAGTTTATTAACTAAATGGAATGAAACATAGTTAAGAGAAAAAAAAAAGAATGATTTGATGCTTGCTTCTCAAATATAAACTGTATAAAACCAGATTATTTTCAATGTAATCTAACTTCTGCCTTATATACTAAATTTAATGGTTTTTCCTTTCATCCAAAATTCACAGATTATGAGAAAATTAACTGCAATTTTGAGGATGGATTTTGTTTCTGGATCCAGGATCTGAATGATGATAATGAATGGGAAAGGATTCAGGGAGCAACCTTTCCTCCTCTTACTGGACCAAATGTCGACCACACTTTTGGCAATATTTCAGGTATAATTTATATTTAATTCATGAATCAAAAGGAAAAAAGGTGTGTTTGTTCAGAAATTTCAAAAGAACAGTACACATGAAAAAAATCTTGTCGTATGCTCTTTTTTATGGCTTAAAAAATCCATTTAAAGGAAAAATGGTAGTTAATAAAATAGGCAAGTAAAAGTGAATGTGTTTGAAAAAAATATACTCTTTTATACTAAATAGTCATTCACAAGGTCTTGAAATGTACCCAGCGACCATTAGAGACAAGGATACTAAGTCATTACCCTAGATTTGCCATTTTCTATTAACCCCATGAACATGTGGGAGGTAATCAACTTTTCAGAGCATAAGTCTGATTTGCATTAATTCCATCTTCTGATTATTCATTGAGAGTATACAAAAATACAATACAGTTTTTGTATATTGATCTGATACACAGAAATCTTGCTGAATTTGTTAGTTCAAATAAGTTTAAAAAAAAAAGAATTCAGTAAAATTTTCAAAATGTAAGATCATGACATCTTGAAATAAATACAGGTTTAATTCTGGGAAGCCTGATAGAAGACTGAGTTTAGAGTATGGCCATAATTAAAGGGTTGTGATGTTTGCATAAGTACATTTTTCATGTGCATGGGATAATCACAGTGGATTCCAGGAAAAAGTATTAACATTGAAGGAAACAGTATTTTCCTAAAGAATTCAGAAATTATAGACAGTATCAGAAGAGAAGGAAATCATAGTGGGAAGATCACTCCTGAAAGATTTGGAAGTACATACTCATAATACAAAATATAATCTGAAGTTTACAAACTTAGAAGGAATGTGGATCTTAAAACAAAGGAAAATTACAAAAGACTGGGAGTTTATGAATCTACATAATTTCCTTAGACAAAATCCATTATATAATATGACTTGATTACTAATAAAAAAATAATTCAATTAAAATTTATTGATTTCTTTTCACTCTAGTATTTCTTTTCAGAAGCAAGAACCTAGTCTTTTTTATCTTAGAATTTCTGCATTCTCAATGCCTGAATATAGTGAACATTTTTTAATATATAAATGAATGTCTACAACTTTGAATCAATAAATACTATCTGAATAGTTCATTGATTAAATGAAATAGCTTATAACATGAAAAACTTAAACACAATTGCTTTGAAATTTATTATTTATGGCCACTTCCATTACAAAGATCAATATTTTCATTTTTATGGCCTGAAAAATAAATGGTTGATTTAATGTTAACTGTGTCTGACATTCAGTTAAAGGGAATTATAAAGAATTTTTTTTTCAAAATAGAAATGTATCTAACTAATCCAGGTTCTTAGACAATGACATCTCAAGAATATCAAACTGTTTCATAATACAACATCAAATTAGTAAAAATAATCTCACTAAAAATAACTATTTTAATCTATTTTTATAATCATCATCAAAATCCCTTTTTCATTTATCCTTTTACTTCTTTATTCAAGAATCGTTTTGGTTTTTTTTTTGAGTTCCATGCCCTGTTCAAGAGACTCATATCTGTGGACAAAATGAACCAGGTTTCCTGCTTTTATAGGTTACATATTATATCAAGAAAAACATACAAAATAAATATGAAAAATAATTTTTTATATGTTAAATTCGTCTGAGAAAATGTAAAGCTTGGAAAGGAGCATCAGAGGGCAGATGCTCATTAATCAGTTTAGATGCTATTTTATGGAATTAAAGGAATTAGTCATACAGATTATTCCAGACAGAAGGACCAGACAAAGCTAAAACTCTAACCAGGAGCATGACTGATCTGTTTGAGGAAAGCCAGGAGGCCAGCAAACCTGAAATGAGTAGGTAAGGCAGTAAGGTCCAGATGATAATGGCTCCTGTGTGGTTCTTGCTTTCCTTGGGTGCAACAGGGAGCTAGGTGAGGTTCTTGAGCACAGTAGTGATGGGCTTCAGTCTGACAGGTAGGCAGGGAATCATTGGTGGAAGGTTAGAGTTTTGCAGGGAGAACAGAGAACAGCTCATGGGACTCCGACAGTGGAGCAGATTTGGTGAGAATAGTTCAGATTATAGATATAATCTTAAGAGAGCAATAACATTTACCCATTACTAGTTATTAATAGCTAACACTTATACTTTATTAATGCAAAAGCAGTTACCAGTGTGGACCTATGAATAAAAATGTGCCCCAAGTAGATGTCGATCCCATAAGACCAGAAATAATTAGCATAGAAAATGATGAAATGCATACTCTCCTATATAACTAATCTTCTTTGTGTAAACTGTTTCCCAGAGCCTGGTCCCCCGTAGATAAATTAGTAACCTGCACAGCTAAAGGCTATCCCTGAAGTGATAATCACCCTAGTCCTCTAAAGAGATACTAAAATAGTCAAATAATTTGATCATTTTTTTCATATAGTGTAAAAAAAACCTCTTACACACTTATACAAGAGTAGTTAGTGGAGAGTGCTGAAAGCATTTATATCTATTGACTATGACAGATACCTTTTATATTGTTGAATCTTTGATGTTTAAATTATCATTTTTCTACTTTTATGTTACCATAATATGAGATAAAATACTTCCACTGATATTTAAAGAGTATAAGTACATTAGGAGAAAAACTGGTTTCAACTTGCCAGCAGACTAAATAGCTAAAGAAATAAGATGAAACTGACCAAAGTGAAATAGGTTGAATGTCAGGTGGAGTTTTTAAATAGTTGGGTGGGAAATAAGAACTCCAGAGAAAGTCATGTTGCTGGAGTTATTTAAAATTATGCAAGATGGAGCAGGTCAGAGTACACCAGAGGCAGCAAAGTAATGAGGATGATGGTAAGGCTTAAAAGGTCCTCTCCAGCTCTCATACCGATGATTCATAATCTACCAGTTATTCACCCCCAGAGGCATTTTTCTTCCAACAGGCTTTAAAAGTATCAGAACATCCTATGTGTGAAATGGAAGAGAATTAAATCTCTCCTGCTGTTCTTCTTATCTAGGCAGGGTTTCTTGTTCTTTACATTCACTTTAAAAGACAGGAGAACCTAAATGAAATAGATAAACTTTGAATTAACATTGCTTTAGGGAAGAACATCTAAACCACTTCACTTTTCTAGATCTTCTGAAGCCCTCTCTCTCGGTGGAGTCACTGTTACTAAATCTTTGCTTGTTCAGGGTTTCTCTTTACCTCCTAGAAGCAAAAGGATCTGGGGGACTTTCAGAGCAATATCTTGGGGGTACTTAAAAGGAACCCATTTGTTTGGAATACTTGGGAAAAAATGACGTTAATAACATGCAAAGACTTCAGAAATATAGGGGTCACAGCTCAAAGACAGTGTTTCTTTCCCTACCACTTTAAGGAACTCATAATGGTTTCTAACGTTTTGGAAGGTAATGTGCTGTAGAGCTAAAGATTATTAAACTGTAGACTCTAGAGTTTCATCAAATTTAATCTTCATAAGCTCTTCCATTTGGGCAAGTTATGTATCCTCTCTCTCTGCCTCACTTTCCTTATCTAAGAAACTGAGGATGGTAATAGTGAGACCTAACTTTACAGACATGTTATAACCCTTAAGTTGGAGCTCCTGGGTGGCTCAAGTGGTAGAACACCTGCCTAGCAAGCATGAGGGCTTGAGTTCAATCCCCAGTACCATAAATAAGTAAACAACAAATTGAGTACTTTGCTTAAAAAGTCTTAGAAATATGTATGTCACATGAAAGTGCTGCATAAATATTAAGTGTTATGAGAATTCTTTTCATGCTATAAAAGCATTCAAGGGACAAAACTAGTCTGTAATACTATTCTAAGCAGTATGTTGGGGAGCAAAATATTTATTTGGCTCAACTTTCAAAAATATGTTAGTCTTTTAGATATCTACATCTCACCTAAGCTTATCAACATTTCTTAGCATAACTTTAATGTTTGCATGTAGCATCCTTATTTTATTTTTCCTGTGATGCTGAATTTTAGAAAAGAATGTACATTGTAATATAGATAGAATCTAAATGAATTTGAGCCATTAATCAATATAAAACTTTCAATAACACGTCCCTATACACAAGGGCAGCTAATTTTACACAACTTACCATGTCATTTACATCAGCCTGTTTTCTTCCTGAGAAGGATCTCCAAGTTTCCAGAAAGCACAAGTCCCTCCAGATTCTGCTGTCTACATCAGTATCAATACATACCCAGCAGTTTTTCTTTTTAATTGGGGTGCTTGGTAGAGAGAGGTTGAGTTAAGTTCATGGTGAAATAAGCAGAAAAAGTGACAGAAGGAAGTTGTAAGAAAAACCTAATGACTTGAGAAATAGGTTCATTCACTGTGCGCTTCGATTAACAAAATGTATTCAGTCTTCTAGGTTTTCAACTGACTCTGAGGTTAATTTCAACAGCTTTAGAAGACATTTAAAAAAGTTGAAGGATTTAAAAGGCATTATCATTTGACCATATAAACTCCATATGGTTCTAGAAAATATCTAATCACCGCATTTGTGTAGGGCTTTAATAAATGTGAAAGCAAAGCAAATCAGTGTGACAAGAATGTGTTAAACAAGCAGTTAACCTAATCAACATAGAAAACACAAAATGAATAAGGTATCTTTTCATGTTTCAAAACCTCTAGCAAGTTTATCACATGTGTATGAATAAAATGCACAGTAGAATATATAAAGCAGCATCTGATAAGTAAAATGTCCCACTAAGAATTAAAAGGAGCTGACTAGGTAGAAAAATGTAACTATTTAACTGGAGGGTTTTCTGAGGAGATGGCCATCTGGTTAAAATTTTCTCTCAAAAAAACAGGAGAATATTGATAAGGCATAACTGGAAGAGGACGTAGAAGGTCAAGAAAATACAAAAGACCCAAGCATCACAAGATTTCTATGTGGATAGAAATATTAAGAGAATATAAATGTGTACAAGTGTTCTGTATCATAGGTGAATTATAAGAATGATGGCTAAAAGATATTCTGGTTATAGTACAGAGATGCCACATTTTTGAAGTCGTACTTGGAAAAAAGAGATGTCATAAGAGATTCTGAATACACAATCATCTAGATCTCAAACAATTCTGTAAATAATGGAGAATTTCTGAGTTTGAGAGCTTGGAGTGAGACACCCTTAGAAATAAGTAGCTACAAAGGTGGTCTGCTTCAGTCACCATCCCTAGGTATAATATCCTTCCTATGCTAATGAGCTACTCCTACTATGAATGGAACCAGCTTGATGTGCAACCAGTTTATCAAATGAAGATGCAAACTTTTTAATGTGAGATTGTACCACATTAAAATTATTGAAGGCACAAAGACAGGTAATCTTGAGAAGACTTAGGAGAGATATAATAGTAGCCTTTAGTATGTGTAGCATTAACAAATACATCTTACATCCACAGCATTCCTAGAGATCAAAATGATAAACAATGTGTGTATAAAAACCTAAACTTAAATACATCTGATCATGTAAAAGTGAAATGGGTTACCTGAGAATGCACTGATGCCTTTTTCATCAGGCATATGTTAAATAAATCAAGTGATCTGTATAAGTAAAATGTCATGGGTTAAAATAAAGAAATCTGTAATCCCAGCTATTCAGTAAGAGAACAAAGGATTGGGAGGATCATGGTTTGTGGCCAATAAGGGCAAAAAGTACATGAGACCCCTCGCAATCAATAAGCCAAGAATGGTGGTATAAGTCTATGATCCCAGCTATGTAGAAGGCTATAGGAAGGATTGGAGTCTGAGAATGGCCCTGGACAAAAACATAAGACTACTTGAAAAGTAGCTAGAACATAAAAAGAGCTTGGGGATGTCTCCAGTGGTAAAGCACCTACCTAGCAGGTGCAAGGCCTTGATTTAAAACTCTATATCTCAAAAAGAAAGAAAGAGAGAGGGAGAAAGAAAGAAAAGAAAGAAAGAAAGAAAGAAAGAAAGAAAGAAAGAAAGAAAGAAAGAAAGAAAGAAAGAAAGAAAGAAAGAAAGAAAAAGAGAAAGAAAAGAAAGAAAGAAAGAGAAAAGAAAGACTAATTGGGTGGTTAGACTAAGTTTTTATGAAGACTGTAATTCTCTACTTTTAAAATTCATAATTTTATCAAGAATTTCCTTCAATTTTTAGTTTAAATAATTAAGTTGATATCACAGATATAATTTTTTATTATATATTATTTTAATATATTCCATAACATGTAGCTCTATATGATACTTACTATACTATTTACTTATTTTTATTTACCTATTTATGCAAAAATCATAAGGTACTATCATCTGCATGATTAATTTTGTTTTATGTAGACCTAACCTATACCTTGATTTTGCTAAAAACCCCCAATACATCACTGCTTCATGAGTAAAGAGCAGTCTCAAGGTATTTCAAAATATAACTAATTGACTAGGAATGAACACAGCCAAACATAAATAGGACCATGATGTGTGTTGGTATTATATAACTATAGCTAACTAGAAATATTTCTGTGTAGTTTCAACGTTTCAGTACTTATCTATGGAATTCAGGGCCATTTTAGTTATTTCTTCCCCAACTATGCCCTAAACTGAATAAAATCAGTTTAAACTAGGTTTGGAGTTGAGATTTACAGTGGATTCTCGAGCCTCTCTTCTGTATCCATTTTGCTTTTTTCATTAGGTTGTACAACTAAACTCTAAATAAATAGTTAAAATAACTATTCATGAAATATTACACCATATATAAAATATGAGTGGGTTAGTAATATCAAATGTTATATGCACATGTATTCTTATTTTGTACTTTATAATGTAATTCCAATGAATGTGAATATGTTATATTTATTAACACATTTGACCCTGATTTCACCTAGGTAAAACATTCACTTATTCTGAATAATTTTTGTCTCGCTGGTCTAAAAATGCATTGATGTATCTATAGGCAGTTCCATGAATATATCTTTTCTTCATGTCTTATTCTTACTCTGGATGTTACAAATGAATGAGTTTGAATTTTATATGCAACATTACCTATATTTTTCTGTTAGAAGGCACAAGAGAGATGTTTGATTTCACTCAAACAACTAAATTTCAACATTTCATAAAAATGCATTGCAATTAAACTAGCTTAATCTAGGATTTCATTTGCTTTGCATATTTTGCTAGATGGTTCCTTCTTCTGGTCATAAATATATGTGACAAATTAAGAATGAAATAAATTCCCTAAGAAAATGTTCAAGATGGTTTTACCTAACAACACTTCACATACTTCAAATGGCTCAAATCATTGGCTGGAATAATGAATTCTAAAGCAGAAACTACTTTATGCAGTCACTTGTGCTATTTTGAAAGCTTTTATAGGGATTAGTATTCTTCCTGCTGCTCTGCCTGCTTAGTTATTTGAAGAAATACAAGAAGATGAAACTCATACAATCAAGTAACTTCTTATTTAGAAGCTTGCAGTATAGTCAATGGGAATATAAAACTGAGGATCTTTGAAACTTTTAACTTTGCCTTCAAATGTGTGTTTAAATACTTGGGTATATCACGAGCTAGGCCACCAGCATCTCTAAGTGTCTTCACTAACTGAATGTCTATAAGGATGTGAATTAGTGAAAATGCATAGTAAGTTGAAATGAGAGTGGGAGGGACAGAGTTGTGGAATGATTTTCATAAATAACAGTTTGTTATGACAGTTGCTTTCTGGGCTTAAGTCTAGTGTCCTGTCCAGTATATAAAAATGTTTCCTAATGTTTTCACCTGAAGTTTTCTTTTGTTCACAGGAATAATATATCTCATAAAATGGGCATGCTAATATTTAAGCAAGTAAAACATTGGATTGTTTTGCTTACAGGGTTTTACATTTCAACACCAACTGGACCAGGAGGGGGCAGAGAAAGAGTCAGACTTGTAAGCCTCCCTATACACCCCACTTTGGAGCCAGCCTGTCTTAGTTTCTGGTATGTTTCTGAGTAGTGTTTCCTCGTTTCTAGTAAGATACATGTTAAGTGATCTTATTTAATGAGTACTATCGCCTTTTTCAATGTTGGAAACTCAGATATCAGTAAAGTATTGGCTAATGTTTTAATGCCTGTGTTATAAGTTTTTTAATTAACAGAGCAGCAAACTTCTGGTAGACTTACCTCCCTTTCCCCAGCAACTCTCACACCCAAGGGAAAGTATTTGAAAGACACTAAAGTAGTCAAAAGAACCTAAAATGCATTTAATGTTATGTGGTAAGAATCCAAACATTTCTGCTTTCTTCCAAACTAGGTATCATATGTATGGTCAAAATGTCTATAAATTAAGCATTAATCTCACCAGTGATGAAAACACGGAGAAGACAATTTTCGAAAGGCAAGGAAACTATGGTGAAAACTGGAATTATGGACAAGTAACATTAAATGAAACAGTGGAATTTAAGGTTTGTAAAATAGTTTGTGATTTATGTTTATATTCTTTTTTATGGTTATACAACTGTACAGTGATTGGTAAAAAAAATATATTTTCTGAAGGTATACAAGTCACTTTCTCTATTTTTCTAATCTACCTTTTTAATCTTTTAGAATCTTTGTGTTCACTTTTTCATTGACTTAATAAAAACCACGTATTGAGGAATAATCTGCTATATGAAAGTTCAGCTCACAATGGTCTGTAAAATCTGTAGGAAACTTGATGGAGATGTCATCTTCCTTTAGCAACTTTCTTGCACAAACCAGCCATCTCTGCTTGTGTACCCTGCCTACCTGGGACTTCCATCCTTTCCCAAGCTTCTCCTAGGTCAGTTCTATTCTTTGTAATGATCTTCCTTTCCTGTTAGGATCTCTGTGCCCATTAGTATCCACTCAACCTGCCCCATGCTGGCTTAATCTGCATATAGCTCTTTAGAAACAAATGCTATGAGCAGTATCATTGGGAAGTTGCTGATCATTTATATCACATTATGGCAAATTAATTTTTCAGTTAACAGTTTAATGTGCTCTCTTCCTGAGGGTTTTTGCAGTTAAAATATAGGATCATATAGGCTATTAGTTTGACCAAATTAACAATGTTTTATTTATTTATTTAATTTATTTTTATTATTCATTTATTCACATGTGCTTACATTGTTTGGTTCATTTTCTCCCCCTGTCCCCCTCTTCAACCCTCTCCCCCTTCCCCTCTCACTTCTAGGCAGAACCTGTTTTGCCCTTATCTCTAATTTTGTTGAAGAGAAAGCAAGCATAATAAGGAAGACAAAGCTAGTTGAGTTAAGGACAGCTATACAAAGAGATTCCTAGCATTGCTTTCAACCCATGTTGATTAATCTCTAACTGATCTTTACACTGGTTCCTGATCCCCTTCTCGTGTTGACCTTTGTCACTTTAAGTTTTCTGTATTAGTTCCTCTGGAGTGGGGACATCAAACGCTTTCATGTTTTGGGTTTTTTACCTCTTCCAATATCCCCCATGACAAGGGGAGACCCTTGTCATTTTCAAACAAGATAGTATATTTGGACACTGTCATCATCAAAGGTTTCAGTTCTCTCCTGTTACAAGATATAAATAAGTCACACAATAATCAGTGACCTACATCTATATTCTGTTTCTTTCCTTCCCTTGCTTTTCTCTTCTTTTTTTCTTTTGAATCTATTTCTTATATAAATTTTTTCTCCTCCAATTTTGTTTATTTTTCTGATAATTCAAGTAAGTGTAAGGGAAAATGAAACATCAAGGGAACAGAAGGATGGCAGGAGTTGGGAATAAGTATATCAGTAGCCAAATCTGGTTCAGCTCACTAAGCATATTTTCTAAAGTAATAAAACTTGACCCAATTATTTTGTAGTTAGCTCATCAAGTGCAATGAGAGTGTCAAGTCCTGTAAACAAAGTAGTCTCTTCTTATCTATGGTTTCACTTTTATGGTTCCAATTACCTATGGTCAACTTCAGTCCTAAAGTATTAAGTGGAAAATTTCAGAAAAAAATTATAAGTTTTAAATAACTTTGTCATAATGTATTATTACAATTATGCTATTTTATTGTTATTGTAGCTAATCTCTAAATATGCCTAATTTATAAATCAAACTTCATTGTATGTAGTGTAGGGAAAAATATAGTGTACACAGTGTCCAGTACCACCTGCAGTGTTACGAATCCACTGGAATTGTGCTTGTACTCTGTGATGATAAGGGAGACTACTGTATTTGCACTGTGGCTTTGCCACTTTGTTGTGAAATCTTAAACAATCCTTGTAGTCATTTTGAAATTTTATTTGCTCTTATATGAAAGGAAGAAAAAACTTATTAGGAGTGAGGTAGGTAGAATAAGTGAATAAATAAGTGAATGGATGATGTATAATCATATTGAAAAATTAAATAAAGTAAGGTGTATTTTGTGCCTAGAAGAGCAAGTAGAACATATAGCAAACATTCTGCTCTTATCTTTATTCTCTTACATAGGAGACAATCCCAGGAAAGTACAGCTAAAAATTCCTACTGTCTCTGAGAACCTAAGATGTTACTGTGACCACTGCAGCTTTCTCCCCAATCTGGTTCTGTGTCCTATAGGCACAATATCTCTTTCCTGAACACTGGGTGAACTATGATCAGTATAATCTGGCCCTAAATGGTCACATTATACTAATAATTTTCTCTTGTCCTGTTACTTTCCCATTTTAATTATCTAATCAGTGTTTTTTTTCTCTTCAGGGCTGTTATACTCTAAGAAGACAGGCAGCTACCTGGATTTTATTATTGTTAGGGAAAGAAATCTTGGAGATTTCTCTCTGATGCCAGACAATACATATGTATTATAGAATTTAATGAAGTATGACAATATCATGAGTAAAATAGAGAGATGGGAGAGGGAGAAAAAGAGGGAGTGAAAGAGAGAGAGCTAGCAAGAGAAACAGAGAGAGAGAAACACCATAACAATATTATTTATCATAAAAATATTATCTAACTCAGAAAGAAGACATGAATGAAAATTATCAGTTGTATACATAGCAGTAAAGTTGGGTTTATCAGAAGGATTTTAAAAAAGCATGATCCATCATATCTTACTAGGTAGTAGCTGGTCATCATAAATTTGGAGATGGCATTATTGGTTCTTCAGAGGATGTTGAGCTATAGAAAAGTCAAATTAGAAAATACTACAGTGAAGTCATTTTAAATATGTCTCTGAATTTCAGGTTGCATTTAATGGTTTTAAAAACCAGTTAATGAGTGATATAGCATTGGATGACATTAGCCTAACATATGGGATTTGCAATGAGAGTCTTCATCCAGAACCAACATTGGTCCCAACTTCTCCACCAGAACTTCCTAGTAAGTAGCCTCAACCTGTATTTCTCTAAGTCATTAATATTTTCAGATAGATCTTGCTTTGGATCATTTTTGTTATCCCAACCTAAAATTGTTTTTTCATTGAAAATCAAAGACTAAAAGTAAGTAAAGTGGAAGCCATAATTAAATAAAGGCCATAAAATGTTAAATGTCACACATAAATTCAAAAGAAGTCACTTATTGCTTCACCATGGATCACATTTATGATCATTTTAGTACCTTCTCATTTTTTACAATACTGAAGATACCAATTTCCATTTTGTTGTCACTAAAATACAAAATAATTATGCTATACTGGCCTTGGGGAATGACCTGCAGTCTTTAAAGAAAGAGCTTTGGTGTTCTTACTCCCTCTGTAAGAGTGCTTTTAAGGTCTCAAGAATTAAGTTAAACCTGAAACCCAACAAGCCTATTTTTAGAAAAATGTAATAATGAAAATTGAGCCTATGCTTTTAACATAAAGACTTGATTCACACAAAATATTTTTGTACTAAAACAACACCTTTGTAAGGCTTTGCAACAGACTCCCTTCATGGAGCCACTAATATGTTGCAGCTGAATATTAATCAGGATTTCCAGCCATATGAGATCATTTAACTCAATAGAACACAACGGAACCTATGTCCAATTGTGGTTATAAGTCAAATTAGAAACATGACATTTCAAAGAAAACTCATTACCATTTATCTTATCAATGTCAAAGAAATGACCACTTCATACTACTTTCAGACTATATAATTTGCTAAGAAAGAAATAAAAGCACAGATAAATGATATATCTATACCTACCATCTCCCTATGAGGACATAATCACTGCATTGTTATTTTTATGGAAAAAGATCCCTTTTGTCTGAATTGTGGTGGTTGGAAGCTGATATAGCTGCCTAGCTTCGCTTGATTGAACTTCATAGATGTGATGTTCCAGCTCAGATCTGAGCCCCAAAGACCACTAACTCCATTTCTCATTTTCTTCCAAACACCCTTGAAACAATTACCATATTCACTCCTAAAACTGTATATTTTACCGCTAACAACCCTCAAACGTAAAGAAAACGCAAACTTCTCAGATGAGTAACTTTAACAAGCCAAGACTCTGAAAGATACATGACTGGTATTTGCCAACTTGTAAGAAATGAACTGCCCTTAAATTGAAGGCATGATTATATTGTTGTACTGTTCCATGCCACCATATTGAATGTTCACATATATCCCACCAAAAAGGGGATGTAGTTTCCTCTTGCCATCTTATGTATTGACATGTTTAGGTATTTGTATGGAGTACACATAAATTTTTTCAGAGTTTCACACATTCCTTATTGCTTAATAAACCTCTACTATGTGAAAAATACTGCAAAAGAAATGCAAAATATAGGAATAACCATTGATAAATGAAAAATTATTATAGAATATAAATAAATACTTAAAACAACAGGTAAGTATATATGCCAAATATATGAGAAAAGTAATAGAGGATGGAGGATGTGAGCTGGCAAAGGTGTAAAGAAAGCTTGCAGCTAAAAGACAGAATGACACTCATACAGCTGAAAGAAAAGTATAAAAGGACACCCATCTTCATGTCTTAGTTTGGTCAGAAAATTCTCACAGGAAATGAATTTTTTCCCCAGTGCTGGGGAGTGAACCATAGGCCTTGTACATGCTAGGCAAGCTCAAGAAGTGAATTTCTTGAGACCAATTCTAGGTCTAATTCACCTTTGCTTCACAAGTATCTGATTGGTTCCTGATATCACATGAATAGATAATCAATAATACTATTTGACCTGGACTAAACCTTTTCTCTTTTACTTTCCCACTATTCTGGCCCTCTTTTTCTTTTGGAGACAAAACCATTTTTTCTCAAACAAAATTTTGTCACAATAACTAATGCTAGTTCATGTTAGTAGAGAAAATACGTGAATACAATAATTTGTGCTTTGTCTTACTTAAAAATAATTGTCTCACTTCATTCTGTGTAAGTGTCCTGCAATGCCTAGTATATAAAGTATTTGTATGAAAAACTGCATATTTAGAATCCTTAAAATCACTGCCAGCTTGATAAATGTTTCCTATAGACCAAATATTCGCAAGATTTTGCTAGTTTGATTTTGCAATCACTTAGGACAATAGATTTTTTTGTTTATTTTGGTTTTGGTTTTTGCAGAACTAAAGTTTGAACTCAGGACTTTGTGCTTGCTAGGCAGGCACTCTACCACTTATGCCATATCCCCAGCCCATATTTTGCATTAGGTATTTTTCAAATAGGATTTCACTCTTATACCATGGCATAATGTGTGGCTTGGACACTAATCCTATTTATACTTCCCTCTTAGCTGGAATGACAAGTATGCATCACCATGCACAGCTTTTATTGGTTGAGATGGGGTCTTGTGAACTTTTTTGCCCATGGTGGCCTCAAACTTCAATTCTCCCAATCTCCGCCTGCTGAGTAGCTGGAATTGCAGGCATGAGCCACTGTACCCAGCCTAGATTTTCTTCTTAATGATTTCTGTTAGTCTGGACCTGTATTTATCAATAAATGGTCAAAAAATTTTCAGGTCTAAATAACATATTTTTATATGCTGTACTTTTAAAACATAGTGAAACCTCATTATCTAAAATTTTAAAATGAGATAACTTTTATATATAACATCACACATACAAATTAAACTTGAGATATATTTTTATTATCTTCATATTTATTTTAGCCACAAGGAAAAATACCTATTCCCTGATGTCATGGAAGCTTGTTATCATTGCATATTTAAGCATTAGGAAAATTGTAATGGTAGAATAATAAATTTGATTTTAAAATACAAACTAAGTATCTGCCCAGAGTATATTTGTTCCACTTTCTAAATGATTTGCTTCAAGGCAATATTTAGCACAGCAGAAAATGTTAATTACCATCAGATATAGTCTGAACAACTTCATTCTAATGTCATTTGCAATTGTTTCACTGAAAGTCTTATTTGAACAGAGCTTTTCTGGTGTCAGATTACTGGTTTGTTTAAGCAAAAATAAAAGGAAACCATGGTTGACTGGCTAATAGCCTTTCTTTCACTTTTTGTAGAGAATATAAATAAGAAAATAATCCTAGACAAGTAAGAGAAAATAAAGCTCAGATTTTCCCCTCATTCCTCAGGATGCACACTGGGTCTGATTTGGGAAAATGTAAGTTCAGTTTCATAACTACAAGGATTCTTCCATTTTGTGACTTAAACTTGCTGCTGCATTAGTTCCAGAATTGAGCCTGTGACATGAGCACAGATTAATTTAAAAAGGGGGATTATACTGAGAACACTTAAAGAAAGCAAACATACTGTTACACAACATCATTCCAATTAGTGAAACAATTCTGATGACTTTTGACAAAATATTTACTAAATAGAAAAGTTGTATTTTATACCCTAATTTATTTGTAGGACTATTATAAATAATTGAGAAAAAATATAAAGGTTTTTTATTAGTCATTTTAGTAGTCATGATTTCTACAGGTTTTCTCTATTTAGTTATTATTTTAGCCAATTTCCATTTCTAAGCACAAAATAAGTTAATTTGTAAAGTTTAATAGACATGCATTATACTGAGAGCTAAACAATCTAACTTGAGCTCATCAAATAGAAATCAATCAGTACCTAGCTCTCCCTTGTAATCAGTGGCCATTTTCATCATATCATCATTCTGTAACATTTGTTTTAGTCAAAACTAGCAAATTTCATGATAACTGCACTTACAGATTCATTTACCTTTGAGTTTTGACTGTTTATTGTTTTAATCATTTTATCCTTCCAACAAGTTGCCTAATTTTTAGTTTTCATCAGCTAGATTTCTATTAATAACAAGTTCAATTTAGACTACTAAGAATGATAATTAAGCTTGATTGTTGCAAATTTAATAAAAATATTTATACCATGAGTAATTATAATAATTTGTTAGTGGAGATATAATTTTCACAAAGTGAACCCAATATTTTCATGGGAGAGTTGACAGCCTGAACTTTTAAAATGCTGTTTATAATACTGAAGAATTTTTACTTATTACTAGGATAATAAAAAGTAATTGCAGATTTTTAAAACTAATTAACATACTCAAGCATCATTGGAGGCATCAGTTTTAAAGCTACATCTATCATTTCCCTCACATATAGAAGTACCAATCCCAAGCCTATTTTTGATTAAAACCATTTTATTCTTATTTCTCGTTTGGCTCTAAATATGTTTAATTCAAATTTTCTTATTATAAATGAATGCTGAACTCTCCTCTTTTCCACCCTAACAAAAATACCTCCAAGTTGACATATATCTCATAGGCTTTGGAAGTTTAATCATGGATTAAAAGTGACCTGCCTCAAGGAAAGTATCTATCCCTGAGAACTATTTTTCAAAATACTGTATTTATATACATGGTATATACCATGAAAATACCTATTGGCATAATAAGAAATTAATCAGAGTATGAATGTTTGAGAGAACAGCTCTCAGAAAAAGAAAAACACATGAGTTTAACACTATAAATGGACAGAACTCCCTATACTGGACAGGCTTCTTTACTTTCATTCCCGAGTGGGCATGGTTTACCTAATGATACAGTGTGGCTGTGATGCCTGGAATCACATTTCATGGATCTTTGACTTCTGTCTAGAAAGCATATGCTACATCTCCATTACTGCAATGCTGCCATTAAAATAAATTGTGTCATCATATTCGGAATGGTGTAAAGTGCTTCTCTCAGTTCTTTACAGTCATTTATGTGCAGAGACCAACTAAAATATCATCTCAAGCAAAGGATCAGCCGTATCTCGTTGGTCAGTTATTTGAAATGAAATTATAATTCAAATGTATTTCAAAATGTACTTCATAAGTACTTTAAAAGAATGATTTTCCCAAGACATTTACTTTGAGAAATGTTAAATCAACTGCCTTCCTGGACAAGTTTAACAATTCTACCTGACAGGTTTTAAGTTCTGGTTGTGAGTTTATCAACTCAGCATTACTTATACTATAATGTACTGTTAAGTATTAGGTTATGTGAAATTTTAATGCATTCTTAAGATATCACCCATTTACCGTATTAGAAGTACAGAATTTTTGATATTTTTCAATTCCTTGAATTGAAAATGGGAATGGTGGAATAATGGTAGCACACACACACACACACACACACACACACACATGCACACTGGCTGTACTGATTGTGACTAAATTTGTGAAATAGGAATTTTTTACTTTACCCACTCTTCAATCTGCCATCTTATTTTTGTCCTGCAGTTACACTTAACCTCCCTTACTGGTCTCACTGGTGACTAATGTAAGCATTTAACACAGTTGAAAATTATTCAAATTAAATAGTCATGTGCATGTAAGGGTTAGAGGATTATAGTAGATCCTTCTTCAGAAATATTTGCAAAACAATTACCACAAAATAGATGAGATTATGTTTCCCATTGACAAACTGCCCTTTCCTCTTCTTTCTTTGATTCAATAGCCTTCTTCAGCACACTATGTACACTTTCTTCCTTTTATATTGATCTCTCATTTCCTTTCTTGTCAATGCTTTCATTCATATTCATTTCTGCTCCCTTGTTTTTGTCACATACACTCAGGCTAAACTCTGCCTATGGCTTGGACACCCTGATGGGAGACAGTAATGTAGTGGAGGATGAGCTGGAAATGAACTGAATGTGGTCTTGACATTGATGCTAGGTGAATGTCTGTGGGATTAATGAGTAACTAAATATCTCCAAACTTTAGATTTTCCATTTAAAGTTGAACTAATCCACAAGGATCCTTTGAAAACCACTGCTAAGAATGCCAGGTAATATGTAGGTGCTTTTTATGAGTTATCTATGATTTTTACAACTTGAAAAATCCTCAATATGTGTTTTATGTATGAGAAAAACAAGTCTTAAAAAGACAACCAGCTCTTAACACAATGTTAGTCCAGTAGCTTCAATGCTACTGGAAGGAAGGAAAGAAGGAAAAAAATCCCCCACATTTTGGATTAGTGACTCAAGAGAGTGGCAGACACACGATTTGTCCTATTATAAACATTTATGTTTGTCTATAGCAGGGATTCAGTATCTTACTTTATGAAGCTTGCTTATGAAAGATGTTTGGCAAAAAGCTTTCCCTTCCTCAAATAACTTTGGGAAGCACTATCCATTATTATGTTCTCTAGGAGAATTCACAAAGCCAATAAGAAAATAAAGATTTTTGAGGAGTTGTTCAGTAAAGAACTATTTACTTACATTTTTCCTATCTTAAGTTGAAAACTTTTCCCTTACCTAAAGCCTAAAATTTGTCAAACTAGTATTCTGAGCAACATAATTATAAATTTTCTGATACATAGCATTATCTCTCTGAAATAAACAGTATGTTGCTAATTTTCTTTTTTATTGCTTTCCTTTTTCAGCGGACTGTGGAGGACCTTTTGAACTGTGGGAACCAAATACGACATTCAATTCTCCAAATTTTCCAAACAGCTACCCTAACCAGGCTTTCTGTAAGTCATTTGTTTTCCAGGCTACCAGGAAAAAAAGTATACATATCCCCTTCAAATGTCAAAATAGATTATAAATTTGTCAAACATTGGTACACCCACCTTGTCTATCTAATGACATTCTTAATATAATAAGAAGCAAAATTGTTGCTAACTTTATAATTAATTCATGATAGTCAAATATATATTATTTCAGCCAATTTTCACAATAATTCTTTAAAGTAGTTATTATTATTGTAATTCCAAATTTTAAAATTGAATGACACACCAGAGAGCGAGCCAGTCTTACACCAGATACTCTTTTAGTAATTCTCCTAGCTTGTGCATATACTGTCTATAGTGTGCTTAACAAGCCTGCAATTTCATGGAACAATGCCAAGGAAAATATAAAAAGTAAAGAGCAAACTGTGACAGCCACACCTTTTGCAAATATTTAATAGAGCCAATAAAGCAGACAGCTGTAATAATGTGATTAGATTCCCTGTAGAAAGGAGGAAATAAGAAGGAATGCTAAAACACCTAAATCTAGGGAGAATTGTTTGCCAGAACTGTGCAAAGGCTATTTCTGCGTCAATGTGGCTAACTAAAGAAACTCATTATAGTTGTATAAGAATTACATTAAAGATGCAGATTCACCAGCCCATCTTACTGGGCTGGGAAACAGACACATTCTTCCCATGCCATGACTCCTTAAGACCACTAATCTAAGTGAAGAATTTGGCCAGAAAAAGGAAAGCCCCAATAACAGTAAAAAAAAAAAAGTTTATGTATGCAAATGCTACAATGAAACCCCCTGCATACCTATCATACACCAACAAAAATGTTTAAAAAAAATAAAGGGCAAGAAGCTAAAACAGGTCCTGTCTGGGGATCCTACCAGTAGGAGGAAGGAAAGGAAGAGGAAGGGCAAATATAATGGATGTACTTTATATTTATATATGAAAATAGAATAATGAAGCCTGTTGAAATTGTTCTATGAAGTAAGGAATGAGGGAGAAAGACAGAGGGTGTGAATGTAATTAAGATAAATCGTATGCACATATGTAAATGTCACAATGTACTCCCTGTACATACTAATAAAAAATTTTTAATTAAGTTGGAAAATAACAACCTTTCTTCCTGCAGTGTTCAAGAGACAAACAAGTATCACTTTCAAAGTAAAGAGATTCACTGTTATACTGCTACACTTGATCAAATAATAAATAATAAGTCATTAATCTAATTTGACTTAAATGGAGCAAAAGAGATTGTGATCTCTACTCTAAAAATACTATATTTTAAAAATGTATCATTTGAATGAAGTAATGATCTAAAAATCCAAACAGTAGAGGAATACTGAAATAACAATTTGGAGAAATCCATTTAATTTCTTTATTTATGTATTAATTCATCTATTCAAATATTTAACAAATACAGTATTTGTTAGGCAGTAAAATAAGTTAAAAAAGAAACAAATATAACAGAGCAGGTGGAGTTTCAGATAAATTATCAGGCTTTATAAAATATTTAAAACACTAAATTAAAGGCAAAGGTAGGATTTGTTCAGGAAGGATGTAGGTGGATCCTTACCACACAAATCAGGAGACCATGACTTTCTTAACTTTCTAAGGCAAAATTCAGTGAAATGAGTTAGAATATTAGTATCTCTTAATATACTCTATATTGTAGGAATAATTGAATATTTGATTAAAGTATTCCATTTTATATAAATTAAATTCAATTATGGTAAATTGTTTCTAATTTAATTGAAATTTTACTAAACATGTTCTTTTTATTTTAAAACATTTGTTTTTTTTTTTAATTTTTGTACTGGGTAGAATTTATAAAAGTTCTTACAATATGTCAGATATATCATACTTGAATGTACCCCCTCCACCACTCCTGAAATAGTTTCAACAAATATCATTTTTCCATTTACATATATGTGTATACAGTATTTCTCTTGTATTCACCCTCCCACACCATTTCCCTACCTCCTCCCCACTCTTACTGGCACCCTGCCCCCACAGGACCTATTCCATCCTCCTGTTCTCTGATTTTATAAAAGTAAAAAAGTATTACATCTATATTCCACATGTGAAAGAAAACATGTGACTTCTGGCCTCCTTAGCCTGGCTAACTTCACTTATAAGGATAGTCTCCATTTCCGTCCATTTACCTGCAAATGACAAAATTTCGTTCTTCTTCATGGCTGAGTAAAATTCCATTGTGTATAAATATCACATTTTCTTAATCTCTTCATTGGTAGTGGGGCATCTTGGCTGTTTCCATAACTTGGATATTGTGAATAGGGCTGCAGTAAACATGGGTGTTCAGGCACCTTTATCGTAACCTCACACTCCCTAGAAGTGGTATTGCTGGACCATATAGCAATTCTATTTTTAGTTTTTTGAGAAGTCTCCGCACTATTTTCCACAGTGGTTGTACCAATTTACATTCCCACCAGCAGAGTATGAGGGTTCCTTTTACCCACATCCTTACCAATGTTGGTTGTTTGTGTTCTTGATGGTAGCCATTTTTGTAAGACTAGGGTAGAACCTTACCCTGGTTTTGATTTGTGTTTCCTTTATGGCCAGGGATGTTGAACATTTTTCTTCATGTGTTTTTTAACCATTTGGACTTCTTCCTTTGAATAAGCTCTGTTCAGTTCATTTGTCCATTTCTTCACCAAGTCATTGATATTTTGGGAGTTTAGTTTTTTGAGCTTCCTATATATTCGGGTTGTTAATCCCTTGGCTATATTTCTCTTTTTGAACCAATATAATTCCTAATTAAAAAAACAAAATAATAAAAATAACTTGGATTGTTGGTTGTCATGAAATGGAAAAATTACCTTAGAAGTAATTTGAAATTCTCAACAGAGTGAAGATTTAAGTGAAATCAAAAGAAATATATTGTAAATTAAGTGTTGTTACTTTTAAGGTGTCTGGAATTTAAATGCACAAAATGGACAAAATATACATCTTCATTTTCAAGAATTTGACCTAGAAAATGTTGAAGATGTAGTTGAAATCAGAGATGGTGGAGAAGATGATTCCTTGATCCTGGGTAAGTCTGGGATTTGAATGAAGTCATATAACTTGAGACACTGTACTGATGAAGATAACATTTCTTAGTCGACATAATCACTTTTACAACAGCAAAATGAAAACAGAAGCAGAATAAAAACTTACAATAGGAGGCATGTTTGCATGGTGACAAAACAATTTTCTTCTCAAGTTTTCTTAGAAAATCGGGATTAATACTTTTGAGACATAGTTCTTACCATCTAGTATTAATTCACTATAATAATCTTTATAGCCATACACTAAGAACTAAAGATAGCCACTATGTATTTATCTCTGCTTTATGTGTACAGTAGATGTCAAAGATAAAAATTAAATTGGATTTTATTTCACTTCAAAATAGCTAAATTGTGTTATACAAAAATTTTAAATGATTTTTATTTTACCATTTATATGCTGTTTTATTTCTATATAAATCATTCTATATAAATCATTCTCAGGTATCTGAGAATGATTCAAAAGTGACCTAAGTTTACTTTCTTATTTCTATTGTTATTATTTTTTTGAATAAACAAAGGGAGTTGATTCTTCTAGAAAAAATTTTGTATCTAGATCATAAAATACGTAGTGACACATTAAAAAGTTATATACCAAACATAACAGTTATAATCTTACTTAACTGCTATAAATTGGCAGGTGTTTCTCTTAATAAGTCACACATTGAATTCTGAGGATACTTGAATGGCCAGCTGGTTGTATTAAACAGTGTACTTTATGACTAAAAGTGTTGTATCTCACTGTGCTTTATATTTAAATTTATCATTTATTGTGAAATCTCACCTGATGTCTTTGTAATCAGGATACATCATATCAACACTGCAACAAGTAGAAGAAGACTGTAACATGTGAAGGGCCAGGATCATGGAGAAGGGCACCCAGTCACATAATCCCCTCCAACTTTATGTAGGGTTGTTCAGCAGAAGTCCACAATACTCTAGAATGCATGCTTCCTGGGAAAGGATTTTAAGACCCCACACCGAAAAATAAACAATGAAAGTCTTGATGGAGCTAAGAAGCTAGCAAGAACTGAGGAACTTCAATTTTTTTTTTCAAATTTGGTTTTTGTGCATACATTTATATGTTCTAGTGTGTTCAGTTTATAAATTCTCAGGTCAAACTGTTGTTTACTTGTCTTTAGTGTTCTTTTGATTTAGAAAATAAAAATTTGTTTGGGTATGGTGATGAAAGCCCTTAATCACAGCTATTCAGGAAGTGGATATGGGAGGGTCACAGTTCTAGGACAACCCAGGCAAAAGTTAGCTCAACCCCATATTTTATTTTCTCAGAAAATAAGAAAGGTGTTGTGGCACATGTTTATAATGCCAGTTAGGTGGGAGGTAGAGGTAGAAGGATCTCTGTCTGAGGCCAGTCCCAGGCAAAAAGCAGGAGAACCTATATGAAAAATAAACTAAAACTAAAAGGGCTGGGAGTGTGGCTTAGTGGCAGATCACAGGCTCAAGGCCCTGAGTTCAAATTCTAGTACAACCAAAAAGATGACAAAAATTCATCATTTCATCTCAATATTTATATAAGTTCTTGAAAAGTAAATAAGAATTACAGAAGGATCTCAAAATGATAGTAATTTCTTTAGAAACTAAATTGTTTTCATGGCTTCTAACACATAAAACAATTAAAAAGGCAAATGTATGTTTTAATTAACTCAACGTAATATTTAGTAAAGAGTGTTTATGAAATTTCTGAAGCCTAGGGAATAGTGAGAAAGACCACTACTGAGGTCTATTTTATCTTTCTCTCATCTACTCTTCAGATTGGGTTTATGATTCAACTTCCAAAAAGTATAAATAAATTTGGACAAACTTTTGCTAAAGAAGATTAATTTCCTTATTGCTTCATTAATGCCTTTAAAAGCAGCCAAATAATCATTTTTCTGGGATAACGTGAACTTTGAACGGTAGTGGTGCTGAGCCTCATATGATTAATTCATTATTAAATTATAGAGACGAAGAATCTCACATAGTATTACACAGAATGATAGAGAAATTGGGTTCTTAGAAACAGTATCTAAAATATGAAAAACTGCACACATTTATTTACATGTGGCTGTTTCATGAGTGAGCCAAGCTGCATGTTGTTCATCTATCAAGAAGATGGATGAGAGAAAAGGGGAATAATTCCTGCATTCAAAGATCTAACTTCCTCATTTTCCTTTGGAACAGCTGTGTACACAGGGTCTGGTCCCGTGGAAGATGTCTTCTCTGTCACCAACAGAATGTCAGTGCTTTTCATTACTGACACAAGTGTGGCTGGAGGGGGGTTTAAAGCAAACTTCACCACAGGCTATCAATTGGGGGTTCCAGGTAAGACAAATTATACATAGCATTATACTGTTGAAGTAACCCCCCAAAAATAAAAATACCAAGGATTTCAAGACCTAAATTACAATTTTTATGTTTGCAATCTAAGATATTTCTTCTTCTTCAGTATAATGAAGAGTTTCTTTCTTTTTATGTGCATAATCATTGCCTAAGTTTTTTTTAAAGCAAGTATCCACACAGAGTGTTTTTTCTCAGACCTTGTGTAAAGGGTCTTGAATTTTGTGCACTAAAGAGGGCTAAGTTAAAGTTAAGTTAAAAGTGAAGCAGTTGACACAGTGAACAAGGACGTTCCATTTGCCAAGGTCATATTTAGAGAGCAGAAGAGAGGCAGACAAGTGACCTGTTGGAATGCCAACAATATCCAATTAAAAGATCTAACATTATTAACTTATTAGAGACAGCTAGCACGATGAATGAATTTAATGCTGAGTGTTGCTGCTGGCATGTCAACCTTCTTCCTTCAATTTTAATCATATCCATAACACAACCAGCAGGAGCAAACAAAATGTGGTCTACACATTTGTAGAGATTTGTACAGATAGACTAAGAATACATTTATAGGAATATTTACATATATAAGATATAATGCTTTATATTCAGTAATGTACAGAGAAATAAAGTTTTTCTTAATTTTGGCTGTACTAAGGCTATGATTTTTCTTATACTACTGCCCTACAAGGTAGTGCTTCTTTCCTGTCAGAAAGAAGGAATAAATGTTACTTCTACTTCTCTCTTTATTTCCATTGCAGACGTTGGTCTGTTTATCGTGCACTTAAGCACCTAGAAAAGAGGAAGATTTAGATGATTGATCCTTTTCTGGCCTATTATCTGGTCCTAAATTCTACTGTGTAATTAAATTCTGTTTAAATCTGTCCCTCCACTCACAACTAGCCTAGACCTTTGACCCCATTACGGAGAGTTGTATGCTTTCAGCTTTGTTGCCACTCTCTGGCCTTCAAAGGATGATTATCAAAGCAATTTTGTAGAGGTAAGTGGTAACCCAGTTAATTAATTTTCCTTTCTGCATTTTGTGACTGGTTTTCAAAGCAGCTGATTTTGACTTAGAAACAACAATAACATGAACCAATCAAAATAATCAATTAATAAGATAAACTAAAATATTAAGACCTATGCAAAAACACATAGTATAAAAGAAAAGGAAAAAGACTAGAACAATTAGAATTTGTCTTAGAGTTCACAAAAGGAGGAAAATGTAGAAAATGATTCAATTTTTATGAAATAGTAAAGAATAAAATCCATTGACATAAATTATCCATAAATAAGTAATATGTATTAGGCTAACTATATGTGTGTATGCATTATATATAATCAGAATTTAACTCAGAAGAAAATTAAATTACTGCGTTGGAAATATTAAACAAGATAATTTTGACTGAGACATTTTTCACTTTAGTCAATAATCCTCCCATCGTAATTTTATTACTACTGATTATAAATGATAACCATGTTTGTCTGCCAACACTTTATCTACTGTTTCAGGTTTTTCTCTTTGAGATGTTCTGGTTTTCTGATAATACTTTTAAAGTTATGGCATAAATAAGGATTTTAGTAGCTAATGTTCAGAAATTTTAAAATAAAACATACCTAGGATGTGTAGTTTTCATAAAAGTTAGTTTGTTCTTATTGCATTAAGGAAAAATAAATTAAATGATTAAAAAAAACTGAGTAACAGAAAAAAAACACAAAATGTTTTCACCATTACTTTTATAACTGAAATTCTGATTCATATTTTTTAATTAAATATATTTTTTGTTTCCTGATAGAATAGTACTTGCTTAGCACAAGATCCCCTAAGTGACATTTCTCTCCCCAAGAACTTTGGAAAAGAGTGGTCATGTTTGTCAAGCAATTTCCTGTGAAACTTTGCCATAAACAGATTACTCTTTCTAATATGACTAGAGGCCATTGGGTTTTTTTTTATTATCATTTTTACATTTACTCACATGTGTATACATTGTTTGGGCCACCCTCCCATCTTCCCCTGCTTATTAATAATATGAGCCACATAGTTTTCTTTTCAATTTTATTACTACTTAGAAACTCTGGTTCCAAAATATCCAATTTCCACAAAAATTGACACAGGAAAGTATGTTGAAGAATGCAATCAATAAAAAGAAAAAATATGAGACTGTAATGAATGGGCATGCAACAAAGAACCCCAACCACAATTGAAAAGAATACATGAAAGTATTTGATTTCCCCACTACAGAGGAACTAATACAGAAACCTTAAAGCAATGGAGGTCAACATGAGAAGGGGATCAGGAACCAGCGTAAAGATCAGTTAGAGATGAATCAACTTGGGTTTTAACACACTTGTACATGAAAGCAATGCTAGGAATCTCTCTGTATAGCTGTCCTTATCTCAACTAGCAAAAACGCTTTGTCTTTCTTATTATGCTTATGTCTTTTCTTCAACAAAATTAAGATAAAGGCAGAACAGGTTCTGCCTGGAAGCAACGGGAGTGGGGGGAGAAAAAAAAGGGGGTAGGGGGAGAAGCAGTACAATGTATGCACATGTGAAAAAATGAATAATAAAAAAACAAGAGACATTAACAAAGGAAAAGATTAAATCAAAATTAAAGATATGATAGCAGAAGATGTATACTTTCCGTATCTGAAAAAATGATAGCCAGGCTTGGTGGAGCAGACCTGTAATCCCAGTGCTCAGACATTGAGGAATGAGGCTCAGAAGTTCAAAGCCAGCCTTGGCTACACAGGAAGACCCTATCTAAAAAAAATCTGAAAAACAACTTCTCACTATGTTTTATAAGAAAGGATACTAAATACAAATCAATGTTATAATATTTCCTATTTAGAGTATTAAATGTCAAGAGGAAGTTTCTTGTCAAATTCATGAGCAGAATCAATATTTTCAAAAGCACTGAAAATTGAATCAGCTCTACATTTAAGGATGAACACTTAAAAGCAGTGATAGGACTAAGTTTTTAAGTTTTTAAGGAGATAATGTTGCAATTTAAAAAAGGTACAGGTCTCAATATCATTGTATTTGAATGCAGTAGAAAATATATACTTCAACAAAATATCATACAGTAGAGCAAACAAATATTTTGTAGTTATTCTACTGGAGGGGAGGATCTTAAACCATTTTTCCAAGGACTTTAAATTCATAGTTTTATGTTGCAAATGAAAAGGGAGGAAAAAATTGAAAAAGAATAAACTATGAAAAGGAAGACATGAACACAGCTCTTCCATCAAATGTATTATTGTTATTGGCTTTTATCAGGTTCTTATTATAAAATAAACAATATCAAGGATTTTGAAAAGTATTACAAACAATTTCTATACAAGATAATACCCCAAAATTACATAATCTATTACTCTCAACACAAAAGGGATACCTGTTCAGGGGTTCTTTATAATTATTTGTTCTATAGCTATAATTCAATTGCTACTATTTTGTTGTTTATGAAAGGAGTTAGTTTTAAGAGAAAAATATTAATTTAGAGTGGAGTCTGCCATGACCACCACTGTGTGAGAAATATCCTGGAAATGGGGTTCACACTCTTGTCTGGACCTGGCACCGATGTTGCTGGAGAGTAGAACATGAAGTGATTGGGTTGTCATCAGCAGTCTTTTTCCATCAAGATTTTTTTTTTTTTTGTACCAGAAACCTGAAAAGCAATTATAGAAACAGGGACTTGGCAATAGGAGATAGTCAAGCTGGTTTTGGAAAGTAAGATTGGACACACATATCTGCTTAAACTGGTGCTCTACTTCGGTGATCATTTTAGAAAAAAATACAAAACAGTTATCACAAATTGTTTTCAGTATTTATGTGCTTTAATTGTTTTCTGAGATATTTTAAGGGCACCTTTGAAAGTACTCAATTGAAATAAAATTATATAACATATTTTGTATGTCTTCTCCTAATTTAAACAGTTCTATTTACATCAAATTGGAGTATAGTATGTATTTATTAAGATAAAGTCTCTTATAAATGTACTTTCATTGCTTTTTTCTGATACTCAGTAGTGTATATCAAGCAACTTGGAAGTGGCAGCTGGTTATATTTAGGGGTTTAGAGCCCTCCCCAGACTGTGTGGCATGTGCCTTAGAGACGAATTTGATTCCATTTAAAACCAAGCATATGTTGACTAAATGAAGCAGGGCAACTGGAGAGTTCATAAAAAGAAGATGGGGAAATTTAATTCTGAGCAATATTTCTAGTTTTTTCTCTCTCACTATGGGAATAAAACTATTAGAAATAAGATTTCAGAGTCCAGGGAGAGTTAAAACTTTATATTAAAGACTTCTTAATGATGCCAAATTGTTATATGTTCCATAGAATCAAAATCAAATTTATGCATGTAAGGAAAATTTGGAAATAGCTTATTTATACCTCTTCTTGGATCTTATTTCTATTTGCATCAGCAACAGTAGATCACTGCCCCATTAGCCACTTTTTTATCCAACTCATTCAGCCTTTGAAAACAAATTTCTTATTTTTTTCTGAATTCATAGGGTATATTCCTAATAGCTTTAGATAAAGTACCAAAATGAGTTACAATTTTCAGATAGTCATACACGTTTTCACTCAAATTTTTATTCACATATTTAAATTTATTCTATTTAACTAATAAGTGATTTACTAATTAAATATAGCCTGACTACACTGACAAAAGAGTAAAATTATCAAAAAACTTATCTGTAATTATATTATTGTCCTTGAGAACTCATTATTACAAAACCTCTGAAAAATATAAATAATTTAAAATAGCTAGTTAAAACTAATATTCTATAAGTATATTAAAATATTTGATTATGGGTATGGAATTAGTGCTGTCAGATCCTAAAAATGAATATTACATATGATAAACTATGAATTTATAATGGAATATATGTATGCATACATAACTATATGTATTTTTAAGTCTTCCTATATTCTAAAGGAAAATTAAAAGAAAGATAAAATCTAAAGGAAATATGAAATAAAACTTTTGGATAAAATATAAGTGCAAGACTGTAGAAAATGTAATTGTCTTTGCCCATTTGTCCTCTCAGTAATCTGATTAAAAATATGTATGAAACAAATTGATAATTAAATTTATAAGAATCTCATTATTTACATTTATTTATTATTACATTATTATTTATACATTATTATTTATAAAAGTTTGTAAAAACAGCAGCCATGGCTTCCTAAAAATATTTTATTGAAATAAATTAGATTTAGGTTAAAAAAATAAAGAACAGTTCAAATTTAAAACATACAAATAGCTCCAATTGTTCTAAAACAACAAGAGAAAATGATTAGGCATATTTTCTTATTTGTCTGGTAATTTGGAGGAGGAAGTGTTACAAGGACTGCGTGGAGTAAAAATGTTAACTTAAAAATATCAGTGAAAAGGGATTTGGGGAGTCTGGGGATATAGCTTACTGGTAAAGCACTTGCCTAACATATTTATGACCCCGAGTTTTAACTTCAGTGCCACACACTCAAACTCTGAAGAATTTTAAATGTTCTTGTTTTTGCTGTTAAGAATATTATCTATTGAATACTCACTGTATGCATATATTGGTAAACTAAATACATGTATTTTATTTACATCTAAGGCAAAAGTACTTATTGCCATTTGACAGTCAAGGAAGCCAAGTCTCAAAAATATTTATTTATTTGCACAAGGTCAAAAAATAAGGAAAGAAAATGTCTAAAATATAGCTCTTACCAAGACCAAATGATTCCATAGCTATATTTTAACTGCTATTCAAATTTAAATAGGTAAATTTTATCTTATAATTCATAAAATCAATTTAATTTTCAAATCACTAAAATTGCCATCAATCAACTACCTTAAATTTAAAAAGTTACTTTTGCTTAATAATATAATGAATTTTAATTAATTTCCTTTTACAAATTCTATAGTGTAATATAAAACAGTCTGAAAGTTGAAGCTGCATTTATTATTTCATCAGTTATTACTATATGCATGGTAATAGCTAGGAAACTCATATTTCATCACCCATAATACATATAGCCCTACAGACAAATAGGTAGAAGAGTATAATCCTGGGTAAGAAGCTAAAAATAAAGGTGCTTTAAAAAGGCCCTTTATAATAATAGTGTAAAATCTATTATTAAGGTTCATGCCGATTTTTTATACATTTCAACCATTTAATATTAATTTACTTAATATTTAACAAATATCTACTTGAAGCAAGCTTTCTTCTCTTGCTCCCTTGTTGGAGTGAGCTTTCTCTCTCTCTTGGTTATTACTGAACCTAACTGGGGCTAGCTGGGGGTGACTGGAGATGAAGAAAGAACAAAGGATAGACAGACAGACAGACAGAAAGTTGGGGCCAGGTGTGTTGGGTGATCGGGTGGAGAAGCACAACCCTCATTGCTTCTTTTCTCTGTTATTCTCTTCATTTACTCTGCTTCTTATCTCTGTCTTTATTCTTTAAAGCCGTACTCCTTTATAATTCTTTAAAACCTTGCTTCTAAAGTCTTCTTTAAAACCTTGCTTAAAACCTCTTTCCTTAGACTCACTCCATCCCATGTTTTCTCTTAGCTGTTCTTTAGCATAATCTCTCTTAAAGTCTTTGCCCCCAGACTTGCAGTTCCCATGTTCTCTCTTTAGCTTTTCTTTAGCTTAGCTTTTCTAAAGCCTATGTATAAAGTTCTTGGTGCAGACTTGCATTGTCCCATATTCTCTTTAGCTTTCTTAAAATCTCAGCCCTCAGGGTTGCTAACAATTCCCCTTTTGCAATTCTCCTTTAGCAATTCTTTTCCCTGCAGAAATCTTCCCTTCAATTCATTTTCTCCCTTCAGCAATCTTCGGCCAGCACTTTCCCTTCAGCAATTCATTTTCCCTTCAGCATTCCTTTTGCAGTCCTTTTCCCTTCAGCAATCCTTTTCCCTTCAGCAATCCTTTTCCCTTCCAAAGCCTCCCACATCAAAAAGCCAAAAGCCCAAAAGCCTCAAAGTAAAAGCCCCCAAAGCAAAAGCCCCTAGCAAAAAATCCCTAAAGCAAAAAGCTCAAAGCAAAAGCCCCAAAGCAAAAGCCTCCCATCCTCCTTCAGTGAGTCTTTTATATCCAGTGGTAAACAGGGTGGAGCAGCAGTTCTCAGGGAGGGGTATGATTTTGTAAGAGAAGAAACCTGCCTTCCTGTATCTCTGAATGTAAACAACTTCAGGAGAAGCAGCTGTTCTGCATTTTCCTCTTCTGTGGCCGGAGCTGTGCCAATCTTAGCCTACAGATAAACATCTTAGGAAAAGCAGCTGAGCTGCACCTCACCTTGCTTATGTCCAGTTCTCATCGCTTCCCATAATCCACTCTCCACATCTACTGATTTTCTACTTTGTGACATTTTGCTGAGCCTTGGACATACAACAGTGAGGAAATATAGCAAAATGGACACTATATGGTAAAATTAATTTAAAGAATGCTGACCAAGGTGAGAGTATTAACAAGGACATCTTTATTTCATCTGTGGCTTTTTTTTCAAATATCTTTTTGTTCCTTAATATTCCAGGCAGACCTCTTAACTTTTCCAGATACTTCCAGTATCATTCTTTTAACTGAATAACTAAGACTTAATTTTAAATAAAATGCACAGTTTAGTGTAGGATGAAAACTTTCAGATCATCTAAATCAAAGTTTCTTTTATTCCTTCAACTCAAGCACAAACCTTGGTTCAATGAGATGTAGAGTAGAATAGAGTAGAGGAGAGTAGAATATTGTCTGTAGTTCATTTTCTCCTTCCATTCCTTCCATCTCACTGTAGTTCCAATGTTAAAAGACAAGAGGTAGGAGAAATTTATCACATTGTAGTTTTCTTTTGACCAGCAACATCTTCTGTCCAAAAGCTAGCTCTTTTGTAGAGCACGGTTGTGTGTTCTTTGAAGCACTTCCACCTTATCCTGAACTACTACACTGTAGGCATCCCTTGTGAGATAATTTCTTATCCCTGCTCAGCTATGAATGCCATTTCTTTGTGCTGTAGGCTAGTTGCCTTGACAGGCAGTTTCACTGATTTAGATATCTGCCCCACATTTGCATATGGCAAACTTTCTGGCTTCTAAATTAATTATATAGTAATTGATCACCAATGTTTGCATAAAAATCTACCCACAAATTTTAGGCATAGATAGCCATCATCTTTTATAGAATTTTTCACTTTAACATGGTTTCTTACTAAAGTCACAATTAAAGAAAAGTCTGACAAACCTTGCACTAGCCCCATGGATTCTGCAATGTTTAAAACTTCAGGCAGAAGAATGGTATGTTCACTTCACTTCTACATGATTAAACATGAATTAGTTGCCATAGGGGATCCACACTTGACTTGATAGATAACACCCATAGGAAAGCACTCTCCAGAGACCCTAGTCAGTCTTTTCTTAAAACAAAAAAATAGTAAGTCACCTTTATTTTTAATAGCTGGAAGCTACTCATTGGAACAGTTTGAGTTGTACTGTCCCATTGTTGATGTTGCTTTGCTTTGTGCTCCTAGTACAACACAAAAAGAACCTCTCTTTATAGTGTGACAATATTTATCAGTGTTCTCTGATCTGAATCTACAACCTAGATGCTGAACAGAGACAATTCCTTTCAAGTCCCATTACATTTGATCATTGTAAATTAAGAAAGTATCCATGATATACTTTTAACTTGTTTCTGATATACTTTTAACTTGAATTATGACTCAGTGAAATCAACATAGATTATATTATACTGATTTATTTTTACTAATCATTTTCAAAATAGAAGTTTCCCTGTCCCTTCTTGTTTTTGTTTGTTCATTGGTTGGAGATTCCTGAGGTTTTATCTTCACCCTTTTAAACCCATATGTTTGGCTTTGATACTATTTCTGAGGCATTCTGAGTAGCTAAGTGTGGAATGCTTTTAATATTAAAGCTTGTTCCACCATGTGTCTTGGCATAGGACTGATGTTTAAAGGCTCCTAAATGGAATGAGTATGCTAAAATCATCTATATGCTTTTTTTGTCCTGTACAATAAATATTCTTTCTCCATAGAGCCCTGCAAGAATGACAGTTTTCAGTGTGAAAATGGGGAGTGTGTTCCACTGGTGAATCTTTGTGATGGTCAACCACACTGTGAGGATGGCTCTGATGAAGCACATTGTGGTATGTCTTATTTTTCTAAAAATGCTTATATTAACCTCCATTTTTTGATTCTACAAAGATTATTAATATGTTTATTACTTTGAATTTTGATGTAGGGTATGGCTATCTTTAGTGTACCATTCTAGTTAGGATAAAATTTAACATGTAGAACTCTTGTTTCTGTTTGTGTGTTTAAACCAGGCTATATTTAATAATTGTAAGTCTGGGACAACAAATATTCAGATAGATTACATAAATACAGCAGAGAGAATACATAGTAGCTCAAATCAGTCACTTTAGTACCATTCATACCGGTTACTGTATTCTGTTTACTACCTTTAAGCAGAGAAATCCTTATGCTAATTTATAACTGAATTCCCTAGACTTGGTCCTTTTCATTCTTGGTTCTTCAGTACCTTTTACTCTTCCTGCCTTGCTTGTTTTTAGTCCAGCATTCACATTCAGATCTCTACAACTATATGAGCAATTCATTCTTTTACTATGTCTTATTTTTATTTTAAAGAAAACATTTAAGTTTATATATTCAATGTGCCATGCTCTGTAACTATGTGCTGCAAAACAGTCCCATAATAAGAATTTACTCTATTTCAGCCATGAGGAAACTGAGTATGGAAAAAGTTCTCTATCTGCCAAAGATATTGGCCAAAGTTGTGTTTCAAACCTTAGTCTGTCTAATTCTAAAAATCAGTGCCTTAACTCTTTTCATAATAAGAAAGAAATGTAAATTATAACTGTAATAGGATGTTGTAGGTAAGACTGCCATTGCGTGTTTTCCATGTTTGATAAGATAATTGAACTCGGTCCAGTGCTTACCTGAGCATGAATACTCTTAGCATTCTACCCAAAATGTTTGTAAGATGGTGGGGAAGATGATGAAAATGAAACAGCAAAATGGCAAATGGAAATAAAATGTTTCTGAAGAAAGAAGGATTAAAAAGTACCTTTGTAATTTTTCCTGAACTTGAGTTTTTCCTCCTTGATAACTGTTTATAAACAATGTTCTTCAAAACTATCTTTATTTTCTGTTTATTTGTTGTATCACTGTGAAATGAACTTACATATGTCTGCTTTTTCCATTTTTATAGTTGTTTGAAAAAACAAAATTAAATCTATTAAATTTTTATCTTTCAACTTTTGCTTTCCAACCTACTCAAGAAAAACTACCATCAGTCTCTAAACTAAATGTTAAGAACATTATACATTTTGCTCAAAAGTCATCATTCACTTTTATAAAGTTAGGTCAAATGATTTCTGATGTCTCAGTGCATATTTTGGTGTATATTATTTTTAAAATTGTATTGCAAATTAACAAACTGTAATTGTAAATATTTATGGGATATAAAGTGATTTTTTTTCTTTATTGTTGTGCTGGGTAGGGGGTACATTGTGGCATTTATAAAAGTTCTTAACAATGTATCCAATATATCATACTTGAATTCACCTCATCCATTGTTCTCATTTACTCCCTGTTCCCCATTCCTGGAATAGTTTCAACAGGTACTATTTTTGCATTTACAGACATGTGTACACAGTTTTTGCATTTTATTCATCCTCCTACCTCTTTTCCCTGCCACCTCCCCTTCCCACTGATACCAACCACCTCCCTGGGCAGGACCTGTTTTGCCCTCCTGTTCTACTATTTTGTAGAAGAAAAAAAATGACATTTTTTTCTTGTTTGATTTAAAGGTAGCTACACAGGGGGTTTCCTTGTGATATTGCCTTGTGTATATGTTTTATAACCCCAATATGTATGAAGTATATAATAATTAAGTCAGGCTGGTTGACCTATTCATCACCTCAAATCAAATACACATGATTATTTTGTGGTGAGAAAACTTGAACTTTATATCCTTAGCAATTTTGAAATACACCATGGTTTGTTTTCGGTGGTGGTGGTGCTGGGATTTGAACTTAGGGCCTTGCACTTGCAAAGCAGACATTCTACCACTGAGCCACACTTTAGTAAGTTGTTTTTTAACTGTAATAAACATGTTGTATAAGAGAGCCTAAAAACCTTATTCCTTCTGTCTAAAATTATATACTATCAGACAAGCCATTCCCTATCCCCACCCTCCAGTCTCTGGTAACCACCATTCTACTCTCTACATCTTCAGTGCGTCTTTTCAATGGCACAATGAACAACAATGGCTTAGTGCAGTTCCGAATCCAGACAGTATGGCATGTGGCTTGTGCTGAGAACTGGACCACCCAAATTTCAAGTGATGTTTGTCAGTTGCTGGGACTAGGGTAAGTAATTCTACTCAACTGTCTTTTAAGAAATTTTCTTTTTTTACTGATATAAAATTGGCTTTATTAGAAAAGTACATATTTCTGAATTAAGAAAATATACATGAACAAAAGGAAGAAAATAAGGATCTCAATTAACCCTATTCTCAATTAATATTCACTGCTAAAGTCCTTTCTATAAAATGGAAAAACACTTGCATAAAACCTGTGCATTTCCTCCCATACATTTTAAATCATCTCTAGATTACATATGTAAATACTGTGGAAATAATATATAAATAGTTGTTATACTATATTGTTTAGAGAATAATGACAAAAATTCTACAAATACTCAATATAGATGCAATTTTTGTAATATTTTTGATTGTTTAAATGTAAAGTTATGGAAGTTATAAATGCAGAGGGCTCACAATATTCCATTTTATGCTATATCATGATAAGCATAACTAATCACAAGAGTACTACAGAGAAATACTTTTGAAATATCTTTGTAAACTATTTCCACTTGTTATTTGCAAAATTTGTAGAAGTACAATAATGGAAAATTACATGAAAAGTTTAAAACTTTACCAAAAAAGTGAAAATTCCAATTGACTCACCAAATATTTATTATACTTCCTAGTCAAATGTAACAATATATAAATTGAAATACATAGAATATAAATCAAAATACATAAGTTCATGGTATTCATTGTTTACCTTCTCAGCACTCTAAAAAATAAAGGGGAAAACATAAGTTAATAAGTAGTAATAATTTACTTTTCTTCTAATCCTTGATTGTGAAGATTTCAAGATTCACAAGCATATTGGATCACATGTAATTATTTTTACCAATTATAGTACTACTTTGTTTACCAGAGTGTCCTAGTAAACTTTGAGGTCTGTAAAGGTAAGAACCTTGTTTTGTAAACGTTCCATCACAATAATATATACATCAGATAACCAACTTATAAATAGAAAAGGATTGCATTGTCTCACTGTTTTGGTGGTTCCAGTCCATGATCATTATGTAATCATATATATGTACATATACATATGGATAGATTTTTCTATACAAATGTATTCCAAAAATTGTCAAACTATAAAGTATTATCATTTTTTCTTTGCCCTGAACTGGTAACTGACTTTTTAACATATTCTGAAAGCTACAAAGTTAAAAAGAAGAACAAATCCATGTAAATCATATGCATGCATTAACATTTGGCAGATAACCCAACAATTACTAGTTTATTTAGTCAAATACAATAGATTGCCTTTTCTATAATGAGCTCTTTTAACTGACTAGTAATTCATATGTCAGAGTCTTATCGCTACACACAGATTTTCAAAATTTGTTTCAAAATAGTTTTCTATTTTATTTTTGTTTGGAATCCAAAACCTATTTTCTCTAAAAATAACCTTACATGTAGTATTTAAGTCTCCAACTTAGAGCACAAAAACTGTTCAACTTCTAGTAGACTGAGAGAGGAATATTGCAAACTAATGCCAAGATAGTATTTAATCACTACATACAAGATGTTTTTCTATAGAGAAGTGTGTTAGATCCCACTTGGAGTGCAGGGAAAACTCAGTAGCTTCTTGCAATTGGAGTGAAATTTTCCAGTTTTCCTTATCTCTTCAAGGTTTTTACATTCATAATGAGGACTCTCAGCTCCACACCTCAAACAAATGATGCCATCCTCATCAGGAAGGTAATTCATACCAAGAGCAAAGGGAGGAAATGGGTTCTATCATTCATTATACAAACAGTCTTCACTTCCTATACTTTAGAAGTACATATATGTATATAAGTGTGTTTGTATCACCTCTTAATAATACATTATAGACTTTATTCTACCAAAAACTCAACTTTGGGGGCATTTTAGATGAAAGAGTCTTGGATGAGGGTGAGTTGTGGGGAGAATAATGTTTTTTTCTGGTAAAAAGTCAGGAAAACACTGAAACTCTCAATTGTTCATTCTTACTTCAAAGAAACCATTGGGTAAGTGGCATTAATTCCAGTTTCCTACTTTAGTAAGGAGTTTAGTTCAACAGCAAGTTCAGAGAGGTGGAGTCCTAGGAACTCCTTTGGTACAACTGCCCAGAATTGCCAGTAAGGCTGAAGAGCTCTTTTATGTGCTGTTTTTAAAGATGAACTAAGGAGATTGGTATCTTGACCTTGTTCCTAAATTGGTGCATCCAAATGAATGTTCTGGGTGATTGGGCTTTTACTGCCCAGGAACTTTGTACACCAATTTAGCAGCTTCCTAAGCATCACTATAGGATTGTAAATATAGGAGTTTTTCCACTGTGCTTTGTGAATCTTAACTCAGTTGCTTCCTGGAGGATGCATGTGATTAAGATGAGTGATTTATTCACAAAAGTCAAAATGATCAGCATCTTACTTTGAATGAACTCTGTTGAATAATGGTAGTAGTAATGCTGATTTCTTCAGTTGCATGAGGGAATGTATTGGGCAAAATCATATATCTTTATTATATTTTAACAGCATACAATATAAATATGTTATTTTGACTACTCCTGGGTAAGAAATATCAATATTAGACATGCTATTTGTCTGGTCCATGAATAAATAAGACATGATTCTTGCTTTCTCTGCTTATGTACTAAGAATAGACAAATAGAAAATTAAAATATAATGTGACAAATACCATGTGATTTAGGAGAACTGAACCTAATTCAATTTGAGTATCTAAGGAAAGTCTTTCTAGAAAATAGCCTAAACTGGGTGGATGAAAGTCAATTTCACATGACCATGTACTATTTATTTACAATTTCCTTTTCTCCAGCCAGATTTTACTGTCTAGTTCACTGACCTCATTTCCTTTGGATCACAGAACTTCCAGTTTGAGATTGGGACAAAAAACTTGATTTTTTAGCGTGTATATAACAAGTAGTGCATGCCACTTACCATAGATACAATATTTTTGATGAAGGTCATGTACTTTCTTCTCAAAAGGGTAAGGTAATTTCTGCCAAGACTTTAATCTTTGGCTCTGTGCTTGCTTATTAAATAGTCTTCATAATGCTCGAGTAATTGAAAGAAAGTTATAGCCTTAATGAGAATTTATCTACACTAGTACATGGTACCTGAAAAAAAAACTTGGTGAGTTTAAAAATGTATTTGGAAAGTAATTTAGGGTTAATTTATTTAAAAAGCAATGTAGTCTTTCAAGATTATTTATGTAGATAAGATACAAAATTGAATTGTCCACAGATTCTAGTAAATCATATGAGGCAGATTTCATCAGCCTCACCTTTTTTATGTTAAATATTTAATTCCCTGACATTTATAACATGCACAAGTAAAAAGTTCTTCAAATAACATTTGTATGTCTTTCATCAAAGTATGAAAGAATACTTAATCTAATGCAAAAATAAATGTTAAAGAAAGTTATAGAAGTGAATTTTAAATTATATTTTCTATGAAACAACACTACACTGTAACTAACCCAGTAAATTTCCAATGTAGTTGACTTGCCTTGCTAAGTTACTAAAAATGAAGAGCCCATCAGCTGTGTAAAACTTTACAGAATTTAGAAAATATTAATGTATTAAATATAGTTAATTATTTGAATCCTAGGAATTCTATGAAGAATTGGTGCTAATTTTTAAGTTCTACAACAGTCCTGTACAGTATATCTTCATCTTACATATCAGAAACATCAACTTGATCCTCTCATTTCTCAAACCCAAGTAAGAAATGGAATTACTTCAGTGTTCTTCCATTGCAGAAGTGTTTTGAAAATATTGGAGGAGACAGTAAAGATTGTTTAAGTCTTTTAAATAAAAAAAGAATAATTGATTGAATTCCTTTGTAAGCACCATAATGAATTTGTTTCCACAATTTAGCATCGGGTCCCAAAGACTGAAATTAAAATCTGTGTTATATTAGTTTGAGAAGTTGGTGGACAAATAATACTCCAGTTACTATAAATATTTTTGTCATTATCTCCCAAATTTTCAACTACATAGGGAAAAACTTAACTTACTACAACTGAGAGCACAAAACAATGAACATCATAGCAGAAGAAAACCATAACTAGTATCTTTGACTTTATTGACTACTTTTTTTTTGCCAACTGTACACAAAAACAAATGTTTTCTACTTTTTTCTGTTTTAATTTACAACTCTGCACCATGTTACTATTATGTAGTGGTGTAGGGAAAAGTATAGGTAAATTGGTGGAAAAAATATTTTATTGGATTTAAGTGACTTTACTAAATAAGTCTGGTAAATGCCAAACTTTACTAAAAGCCTACCATTTACCTGAAGTACAAATTAAATGTTTGTTTTTTTTCTTATTTTAAAATTTTATTTTATTTAGAAATGCAATAACTAAAAGTAAACAAGGAATAAATGATAACAAAATGCAGTAGTTTGATAACTTTCTAAGATTTATCTTTGATAAGTTTGTTATATGACAGAATTGGGATGAGCAGAGTGAGTAGGTAATTATCTCTGCTCTGGCAAAGAAATGACAGTAAGTGTACCACCAGCTTGTATACAGTTGCTCCTGGATATATCACCTGGTCATAGTCCCAGACACTGAGATTCAAGGTGGTCTAGCTCAGTGGTTCTCAATATGTGATTTTTAAGACAAAACCAACAGTGTTGGATGCCTTACACTAATAGAAATGAAAATTCTGGAATCCTCCTTCAGATCTATTGAATCTAAATATCTAGAATAGGACTCAAGAAACTTGATTTAATAAGCCCTTTCTGTGATTCAGACTCACACTAAAGTTCAAGAGCCACTGTCTAGGGTGGGTGTTCTTAACCTTGTTTTTGTCTGTCATGGACACTTTCATCAGTCTAGGGAAACTTACCAGCATCTTCTCAGGTTCATATATTTAAGCATGTAAATCGCTGAAGAAATTAATTACATTTTCTAATAATCAGAAAAATACTAATGTGATGTGGTAATGTATGTTTCTCTATTGAAGTATCAAATAAGATACACCAATGATGTGGTATTTATACAGAATGGAATCTTATG